ATGGGTGTTTACTTCCTTTAGCCACAGTCAACCATGGGTGTATACTAACTTTAGCCAACGTCAAACATGTGTGTTTACTTCCTTTTGCAACCATTGGTGTATACTTTCTTAAGCCACCATCAAACGTGTGTTTACTTCCTTTAGCCACCATGGGTGTATAGTTTCTTTAGCCACCATCAAACGTGTGTTTACTTCCTTTAGCCACCATCAAACATGGGTGTATGCTTCCTTTAGCCACCGTCAAACATGGGTGTATGCTTCCTTTAGCCACCGTCAAACATGGGTGTATACTTCCTTAAGCCAACGTCAAACATGTGTGTTCACTTCCTTTAGCCACCACCAAACATGTGTGTTCACTTCCTTTATCCACCATCAAACATGGGTGTATACTTACTTTAGCCAACGTCAAACATGGGTGTATACTTCCTTAAGCCAACGTCAAACATGTGTGTTCACTTCCTTTAGCCACCACCAAACATGTGTGTTCACTTCCTTTATCCACCATCAAACATGGGTGTATACTTACTTTAGCCAACGTCAAACATGGGTGTATGCTTCCTTTAGCCACCGTCAAACATGTGTGTATGCTTCCTTTAGCCACCATCAAACATGGGTGTATGCTTCCTTTAGCCACCGTCAAACATGGGTGTTTACTTCCTTTAGCCACAGTCAAACATGGGTGTATACTAACTTTAGCCAACGTCAAACATGTGTGTTTACTTCCTTTTGCAACCATTGGTGTATGCTTTCTTTAGCCACCATCAAACGTGTGTTTACTTCCTTTAGCCACCGTCAAACATGGGTGTATGCTTCCTTTAGCCACCATCAAACATGGGTGTATGCTTCCTTTAGCCGTTAAACATGGGTGTATGCTTCCTTTAGCCACCGTCAAACATGGGTGTATACTTCCTTAAGCCAACGTCAAACATGTGTGTTCACTTCCTTTATCCACCACCAAACATGTGTGTTCACTTCCTTTATCCACCATCAAACATTGGTATATACTTACTTTAGCCAACGTCAAACATTGGTATATACTAACTTTAGCCAACGTCAAACATGTGTGTTTACTTCCTTTTGCAACCATTGGTGTATACTTTCTTAAGCCACCATCAAACGTGTGTTTGCTTCCTTTAGCCACCATCAAACATGGGTGTATGCTTCCTTTAGCCACCGTCAAACATGGGTGTATGCTTCCTTTAGCCACCGTCAAACATGGGTGTATACTTCCTTAAGCCAACGTCAAACATGTGTGTTCACTTCCTTTAGCCACCACCAAACATGTGTGTTCACTTCCTTTATCCACCATCAAACATGGGTGTATACTTACTTTAGCCAACGTCAAACATGGGTGTATACTTCCTTAAGCCAACGTCAAACACGTGTGTTGACTTCCTTTAGCCACCACCAAACATGTGTGTTGACTTCCTTTAGCCACCACCAAACATGTGTGTTCACTTCCTTTAGCCACCACCAAACATGTGTGTTCACTTCCTTTATCCACCACCAAACATGTGTGTTCACTTCCTTTAGCCACCACTAAACATGGGTGTTCACTTCCTTCAGCCACCATCAAACATGGGTGTATACTTCCTTAAGCCAACGTCAAACATGTGTTTACTTCCTTTAGCCACCACCAAACATGTGTGTTCACTTCCTTTAGCCACCACTAAACATGTGTGTTCACTTCCTTTATCCACCATCAAACATGGGTGTATACTTCCTTAAGCCAACGTCAAACATGTGTGTTCACTTCCTTTAGCCACCACCAAACATGTGTGTTCACTTCCTTTAGCCACCATCAAACTTGTGTGTTCACTTCCTTTATCCACCACCAAACATGTGTGTTCACTTCCTTTAGGCACCACCAAACATGTGTGTTCACTCCCTTTAGCCACCACCAAACATGTGTGTTCACTTCCTTTAGCCACCACCAAACATGTGTGTTCACTTCCTTTAGCCACCACCAAACATGTGTGTTCACTTCCTTTATCCACCACCAAACATGTGTGTTCACTTCCTTTATCCACCACCAAACATGTGTGTTCACTTCCTTTATCCACCACCAAACATGTGTGTTCACTTCCTTTAGCCACCATCAAACTTGTGTGTTCACTTCCTTTATCCACCACCAAACATGTGTGTTCACTTCCTTTAGGCACCACCAAACATGTGTGTTCACTCCCTTTAGCCACCACCAAACATGTGTGTTCACTTCCTTTAGCCACCACCAAACATGTGTGTTCACTTCCTTTAGCCACCACCAAACATGTGTGTTCACTTCCTTTATCCACCACCAAACATGTGTGTTCACTTCCTTTATCCACCACCAAACATGTGTGTTCACTTCCTTTAGCCACCACCAAACATGTGTGTTCACTTCCTTTATCCACCACCAAACATGGGTGTTCACTTCCTTTAGCCACAACCAAACATGGGTGTTCACTTCCTTTAGCCACCATCAAACATGTGTGTTTACTTCCTTTATCCACCATCAAACATGGGTGTATACTTCCTTTGTCCACCGTCAAACATGGGTGTATACTTCCTTTATCCACCATCAAACATGGGTGTATACTTCCTTTGTCCACCATCAAACATGGGTGTATACTTCCTTTATCCACCATCAAACATGGGTGTATACTTCCTTTATCCACCATCAAACATGGGTGTATACTTCCTTTGTCCACCATCAAACATGGGTGTATGCTTCCTTTGTCCACCATCAAACATGGGTGTATACTTCCTTTATCCACCATCAAACATGGGTGTATACTTCCTTTGTCCACCATCAAACATGGGTGTATACTTCCTTTGTCCACCATCAAACATGGGTGTATACTTCCTTTATCCACCATCAAACATGGGTGTATGCTTCCTTTATCCACCATCAAACATGGGTGTATACTTCCTTAAGCCAACGTCAAACATATGTGTTCACTTCCTTTAGCCACCACCAAACATGTGTGTTCACTTCCTTTGTCCACCATCAAACATGGGTGTATACTTACTTTAGCCACCACCAAACATGTGTGTTCACTTCCTTTAGGCACCACCAAACATGTGTGTTCACTTCCTTCAGCCACCACCAAACATGGGTATTTTGCCCTTTTGCCCGGCAGTAGTTCTGGTATTTCTAGTCAGGTCAATGATTAATGTTCGATAATAACATTTCGTTCTGGGATTGTGTGTTTAATTGAATATAATTGTGAAGAATCGGGTGCTAAAATGATGGTTGACGGACTATAAGCTCTTTGTGTCCCGTGAAGAACCGGGTTAGAATAGAAATGTTGGTTGGTTGGTTTGTTGTTTAACGCCGCACTCAGCAATATTCCAGCTATATAACGGCGGTCTGTAAATAATCCAGTCTGGACCAGACAATCCAGTGATTAATATCATGAGCATCGCTCCACACAATTGGGATCGATGACATGCATCAACCAAGTCAGCGAGCCTGACAATCTGATCCCGTTAGTCGCCTCTTACGACAAGCATAGTCGCCTTTTACGGCAAGCATGGTCGCCTTTTACGGCAGGAATGGGTTGCTGTTAGAATAGATCTTCAATAACCCATGTTTGTCGAAAGACTTGGTTGGTAGATGTCATCGTATCCCAATTGCGTGGATCGATGCTCATGATGTCAATTACTGGATTGTCTGGCCCAGAAACGATTATGAACAGACCGCCTTCATATAGCTGGAATATTGTTGAGTGCGGCGTTAAACAACAAAAAAACAAAAGCTTGTACCAAAAGCTCGGAAATGCTAGAAAATGCTTTTTTTGGCTTCATTCATTCAGGAATATTGCTGAGTGAGGCATCAAACACCAAAGAAACTAACAAACTTTACAATGATCGTTATTTGCTTATTGATATAATTTTAGGAATCGTTTCATGACTGGCGTCTTCAGCATCAAATGCACTCGTACATGTTGTCATCCGCTTCACTGTATCCACATTACCATGAGACCCGGCGTATACATCAACATCGACGTCAAAGACTGTACAACGATGGTATATCAGGAAGTGGCACAGAGTCGTGATGACAGCAGGTTCCAGCTTGTCAGTGCAGATGGTATGGTCGGCGGGAAGACCTAACGCTTGTTATCGTGTCCAGGGGGCCGTTCTATTTGGAGGTGGCAGCGTAATGATTTGGTCTGTAATGTGTGGGCAGGATAAGACGGAAGCTTGCTGTGTTCAACTCACAGCGCAACGTAACATCGACGAAGTATTGCGTCCATTAGTGCGTCCCTCCCTCCAGCCGTCCTTTAACAGGAATAATGTTAAAAGCGGTGTTAAACTACACTCACTCACTCACACTCCCTCCCAACAATATCACATACATCACGTACCGTCCGTCACATTCCGAAGCTCAATAACGTCAACGTCTTGCCTTGACAAGTTTGCTCACGTGACATGTCGCCAAATGAGTGAGTGAGTTTGATTTAACGCCGTGTTCCATGCAGTTATATCGCGGCGTGTCAGATTAATGTGGGAGGAAATCCCGAAGTGATACAGGTCTCAGACGTTTACCACTTCGGTGAAACCCACGAGCACGGGTGTGGTGCTGACAAACCTAGAAACATAATGGGGGCGAACCGGGATTCGAACCCACAATCATAGGTGTCTGGCGTGCCCAAGGGACAGCGAAATTGCGGCGCCTTAGACGACTGGGCCACCCGTGCTAATCGAGAACACATTGTATATGTGTAACCGCAAGACTTTTCAGTTACGAAGGAAAATGCATGCTAATCACTGGATTGTGTGGTCAGGCCAGACTCGATTATTTTCAGACCGCCGTCATATATTGCTAAACTTAATATTTGAAAATCTCGCGTTGTGAGATTCAATTAATTTAGTAAACTTTTAAGGTAACCTAGGTCTACATATAAAACACAGCATGTTTATCTCCTAATTACAAGGTCAGTATGGGTGACTGTTTTTATTTTAATCACAAAAACATTGTACAAAACGGAAAGCGTACAAATGTTGCATTGATATTAGTATTTAGCCTTGACACCTTCAATCCAGCTCATGAATGAGGACACGCGCGTGTAGACACCGGGTGTCGCTTTGTCCCCACATCCGTAACCCCAGGAAACAATACCCGCCAGTTTCCACACACTACCAGTTTTACACACCAGGGGGCCGCCGGAATCTCCCTGAAATGAGAGGTTATACGTGAAGAAATCCCTCCGTGAGAGTTGGAAAGAGGTGTCGCGCGTTTTCCAAATTCAATTTGTCATACATATTGTAATCCGAAGGTTTTGATTGTTAATATCTTTTGCAAAACGTTGTTATAAAAGTAACATACATATACATGCAAAAAAGGGACCACTAATTTTAGTTCTGTTTGTTTGTTGTTTTACGCCGCACTCAGCAATATGCCAGCTATATGACGGAGGTCTGTAAAATAATCGAGTCTGGACCAGACAGTCCAGTGATTGACATCATCAGCGTCGACCCACGCATTTGGGATACGAGAACATGCATCAATCAAGTCAGCGTGTCTGACCACCTGATCCCGTTAGTCGCCTCTTACGACAAGCATAGTCGCCTTTTACGGCAAGCTTGGTTTGCTGAAGCATGATACATTTAACAGCAGTATCAGCCAGAGAGCGTCATGAGTGGCGTGACATCATACCATTCGGACGTATGTGACGACACATTTAGAATATCATATTTCCAATAGCTCCAGATATGTTTGGTGAGTCCTGTTTAATCAAATTGGTAAACATGCACGACTTTGACCGCTCCTCCCACATTAAACGGACAAGCTGTGCTTTACCTAAAGGGAGCGGTCGGGTAGCCTAATGGTTAAAGCGTTCTCTCGTCACGCCGAAGACCCGGGCTCGATTCCCGACATGGGTACAATGTGTGAAGTTCATTTCTGGTGTCCCCCGCCGTGATATTGCTCGAATATTGCTAAAAGCGGCGTAAAACCAAACTCACTCACTCACTCACGCTTTAAATAAAACATGTTAAAAGCTGATGATATGAACTCGGTGACAGTCTGCATTAGTGATCACCTGACAAGCATCCTTCCCTCCTGCTGTCAGCCCAGCGCAGATGTTGTGGTCGAAGATGACGTTGCCGAGGTAGTAGCTACACATACTGTTGGTGATGACCGGGACGTTTACCTTCTCCAGCATTCGAGTACCTTGTCCATCTGTAACAAAACAACGTTACTATAATCTACAAACAGAATAGCTTGTGAAGACAATATGGACGAAATTAAGCACCACTTACGCGCATACCATACGTCGAATATAACAGGCAAAGAAAGATTACAAAAAGAATACATGCGATTGGCACCACAAACCTATTAAGATCCGGGGTAGAATAGGTCTTCTGCAACCCATGCTTGTCGTGAGAGGCGACCAACGGGATCAGGTAGTCAGGCTCGCTGACTTGGTTGATGCATGTCAACGTATTCCAATTACGTGGAGACCCGTGAAGATCGGGGTACATGTAGAATAGGTCTTCTGCAACCCGTGCTTGTAGTAATAGGTGACTATGCTTGTCGTAAGAGGCGACCAACGGGAGCAGGTGGTCAGGCTCGCTGACTTGGTTGATGCATGTCATCGTATCCCAATTGCGTAGATCGATGCTCATGATATTAATCACTGGATTGTCTGGTCCAGACTCGATTATTTACAGACCGCCTTCATACAGCTGGATTATTGCTGATTGCGGCGTTAAACAACAAACCAACCAAACCAACAATAGTTAACTTAATGATTTGTGTATCATCCTCGCATATACATACATCAAGTCTATGGTAGAAGTACAAATAATTTTCACTCTTCAAAAACCTCAACCTTCCAATACCCATCCCGTTTCATAGCTTTTAGTTATTCCATCATGTTTCCAAGCAAGTATAATGCAGTAACGATAACAGCAATATTTTGAGACCACCCCCAACTCGGGTGGCATTTGCACCTGGGAGAATGCACGGGACGGTGTGAGGTCATCACCTCGGGACAGGCGTCAGTTGATTACCTCAGGTTACAGGCCGTTTCTTACATGCATGACAACGCACGAAGATTTTCTAAGTTTATCATCATTTTACCTGTAAAAGTACATTTTAAGGGTAATCACAATGTCAGTTAGGACAGACTAGATTAGGTCAATTCGCGTTATTTTGATATATGCTCTATTTATAGTCCTTAACTGAATGAAGCCAAAAAAAGCATTTTCTAGCATTTCCGAGCTTACAAGCTTTTGTTTTTTTGTTGTTTAACGCCGCACTCAACAATATTCCAGCTATATGAACAAACAAACAAACAAAGTTGTCTCCAGACACTATCTTTCGGGGTATTTCATTTTCCCTGAGTGGGAACCGGCACCCTACTGGTTTAAGGCGACGTAATTCACAGGGAAGACTTTTGATCCAATTGTTTGTTTGTTTGTTTATTTGTTTGTTGTTTAACACCGCACTCAGCAATATTCCAGCTATATAACGGCGGTCTGTAATTAATCGAGTCTGGACAAGACAAACCAGTGATTGACATCATGAGCATCGATCCACGCCATTGGGATACGATGACGTGTATCAACAAGGTCAGCGAGCCTGACCACTCGATCCCGTTAGTCGCCTCTTACGACAAGCATAGTCGCCTTTTACGGCAAGCATGGGTAGCTGAAGACTTATTCTACCCCGGATCTTCACGGGTCTAATTATGATCCGTGGCTTAATACCAGACACAAGACCATGTCCTCGCACAATAAATATAACTGATTAAACTGAAATACTGCAAAAAGCGGCTCTAAAGTCAACCCATTGCTATGGTACTATCGGTCACCCATTCATTTTGCCATGTGAAGAAAATCAAAGTCAGATGCACACCGTTATTGAATGCTAAAGTGTGAGTGAGTGAGTACGGCTTTACGCCGCTTTACCCAATATTCAGCTATGTCATGGGGGCGCTAGGAATGGTCTGCTCTTTCTGCGTAGTCTAGTGGATGAAGCGTCCGCTAGGATAGCAGATTGTCGGTGGTTCGATCCCCTGGCAGTGTCATACCAACATACGTTAAAAGATGGTATTTGTTGTTACCCTGCCCTGCGCTCGTCATTAGGGGACTAAAACAAGGACTGGTCGGTTCGGAGTCAGTATACTGTGTCTGAGTGAGGTACCGATGTTAAAGCTGGTAGCTCATGTGACTAGTAGAAGCAGACAAGTTGCATCTACTCTATGCCGAGCGCCGGGCAGGGTAACAACAAGTACCATCTTATAACGTCTTTTAGTATGACACGTATACCGACCTTCCCCTCACCGGTCAGAGTCTCTATCCACTAGCCCACGGAGGACGAGAGCCTGATGTTTGCACTTTGGAAGTAAAATTTTCGAGTATTTATATCGTCATTTCAATTATCTATTTTTTTCGAAATTTCAATTTTTTTTCTCGTTATTTCGCATATTTAAACAAAGAAAACAAAATTTCGAGTTTTTTCTCCGGCACTTCCATTATTGTTTTCGAAAATTAGGTTTGTTTAAATATACTTGAAATAACATGAAATTACTCGAAGTAACGAGAAGATCTTGATTTCGAAATTTTAAAATAAACTTGAAGTAACGAGAAATAATCGATATTACGAAAATATCACCGAGGTAACGAGAAAAAAATCGAAATTTCGAAAAAATAAACAAATAATTAAAATAACGAGATTTCAATGAAATAAAATTATGCTCCCGAAGTGGCACCTTCAGGCTTTCCTGACGGAATTGGTCCCATTGACCGGGAGACTTGGAGGATAATGTTTTGTGTGTTATCTCCAACGCGCCACGTGACTCATGCACTGCAGCTGTTCATATTAGGGAATTAAGTGTAAACGATCAGCTGTCTTCAACTGATCTGACATTACTGAAAGTTTAGTTTTTTTATCCCGCAGAAAATAGCTGAGTAAAAGATTTATTATTACATTATTTTATAATTGTTAACGACGTACCGAACTCTGTTGACCCCCATCCAGTCACGGTACATACAACGTTGTCAAAGTTCTCCCCCTTCGACGGCAAACAAGCAGATCCTACAAATCGAGCAGAGAGATCCACAGGCTTAGAAAGTTTCGCCATCGCAATGTCGTGAGCGTTCGTCTTGGAGTCGTAGTCGGCGTGGGACAAGATGTGGGAGACTTTATATATGTGGCTGCTCTGGACGTGGTTACTGTCAACAGCTCCTACAACCATCGTCCAGCCGCTCCTGAAGGTGCTGCAACAGATCAGAGGTCAGTGGTCACGGAAGCGCCCCATTAAGTCATCACTATCCGTCTCTATTAAGACAACCTTATGCCTCCCATTGCAATTGGACCCGTGAAGATACGGGGTAGAATGGGTCTTCAGCAACCAATGCTTGCCCTAAAAGGCGACTGTGCTTGTCGTAAGAGTCGACCAACGGGATCGGGTGGTCAGGCTTGCTGACTTGGTTGATGCATATCATCGATCCTAACATGATGTCAATCGCTGGATTGTTTGGTCCAGCCTGGATTATTTACAGACCGGCGTCATACAGCTGGAATATTGCTGAGTGCGGCGTAAAACAACCAACCAACCAACTGTAGCCTGCATCTTGGAACTTGTCGGATACCCTCATCAGTTTATACCACAAAAAAACATTAAATCTATTCAGTGTCTGAATGATGTTAATAGCTCTTCCTTTTAACTAGCCATCAATTTTAACGAGGCTTTTAATGGGTATAGAAGCGGCCATGTTGTCCTAGATTATAATTGCAATTGAAAGGAAAAGAGCATCTCGTTCTAACGAGATCGTTAAGTTCGGTAGAAAGTGCACATTTATGAATGACAAAAGTAGTTCCGCATTCCTATGAGGTCACAGAGGTCAAGGGCGTTTACCTGACCAATGAAAATCTTTATAGGGTTTATGACACATGTGCAACATATGATTTTATGTACTCGGTTATTTGCCACTACAGAGATAATAAAATTCCACCCACGGCAGATCTGAAGATCTGCAAGTGATTGAATGTGTGTATGCGTGAGTGAGTGAGTGAGTGAGATACACCCATTTCTAATGTCTACCGCCGTGATATAGCAGGCATCTCGCTAACAGCTGCGTTAACCCAAACTCACCTAACTTGGTGACAAATAACCAAATTTTGTTAATTAAAATATTTCACCAAGTGCCAGTTGCTCCTTTTTCTACCCCTAAATTCCTGAGGTAATTCCAGTCACGACCTCCAAACAACAATCTCTATTTTTTTAGATTGTTCAGATTCATTTGCCAAAGTGCAAAGCCATTTGAAATCCAAACTTACTCTTCAAAGCAATGTGCTGCCGTGACGACCCACTGGTTGTCTATCAGGGTACCCCCACACAAGTGGTCTCCATGGTAACGCATCGATACCTGTGTACAACAAATAACATCAACTGTTATTCCATCCGAAGTCGAACTTTTATCACCATGTCATATCACATACTGTTTGTTTGTTTGTTTAACGCCGCACTCAGCAATATGCCAGCTATATGACGGCGGTCTGTAAATAATCCAGGTCTGGACCAGACAATTCAGTGATTGATTTCATGAGCATCGATCTACGCATTTGGGATACGATGACATGCATCAACCAAGTCAGCGAGCCTGACCACCCGATTCCGTTAGTCGCCTCTTACGACAAGCATAGTCGCCTTTTACGGCAAGCACGGGTTCTACCCCGGATCTTTACGGGTCCTATAGCCACGTGGACATAGAAGGAGACCCGAGTAGAGAATAAGACTTCAGCAACCCATGCCTGACGTAAGAGGTAATAATTATTCGAAAACAAGATATTTCAATTATTTCCCTTTTGTTCAAGAATAGGTCTTCAGCAACCCATGCTTGTCGTAAGAGGCGACTAACGGGATCGGGTGGTCAGGCTCGCTGACTTGGTTGATGCATGTCATCGTATCAAAACTGCGTAGATCGATGCTCATGATGTCAATCACTGGATTGTCTGGTCCAGACCCGGATTATTTACTAACCACCGTCATATAGCTGGAAAATTGAGTTAAACTGTAAACAAAAAAACCCAAAAAAATCTTACAAGTCGCTCACTCATTCACTCACTCACTCACTCACTCACTCACTCACTCACTATAACCACGCAGACATACCTGCCAGGGAAACTCTCCCGCTACGGCCAGGGTGCCGCCGACAATCCTAGCTGGGTTGGACCCACCACACTGCCCTACACGAAGAGAGTATAATTAATCAGCGTCATGGTGATGGGTTGTTTGTCAAATCAGGGAAATGGCTGTTTTCACAGATGCAATGCTGAAATACTACATTTATCTGAAAATATCACTCGAGTGAAAAAACAATCTTCTTCAATGACAAGATGGTTTGCAGAGGCTATGGGTGACAGGGATGGGATTTAAAAAGAAATGTTTTCCGAAAAATCTAGGAAAAAGGACTATCATGCCTTGTGAAAATGCTCTCTGACATGCTGGATGCGCTGAACGACGATGTGTTGTAGCCTATCCCGTGACCTGAAACAGTAACACACACTAGGCTGTGGAACTAATGAGGGGGGGGGGGGGGGGGGGGGGGGATTAGCTTTGTCGGGTTACACCATCCGTTTATACTATAATTGCTAACTGTTGCATAAAACAATATTCACTCACTCGCCTAACCACTTACTAGTGAAAACATGGAATTCCTGTAGCAGCTTTAATGTTCATAGCCTTTCAAAAACAAATTGTCATTAAGTGTACGGCATTTCATAAACAAATTGTCATTAAGTGTACGGCATTTCATAAACAAAGTGTCATAATGTGTACGGCATTTCATAAACAAAGTGTCATAATGTGTACGGCATTTCAAAAACAATTGTCATAATGTGTACGGCCTTTCCTTAATAAAGTGTCATAATGTGTACGCATTTCATAAACAAAGTGTCATAATGTGTACGGCATTTCATAAACAAAGTGTTATAATGTGTACGGCATTTCATAAACAAAGTGTCATAATGTGTACGGCATTTCATAAACAAAGTGTCATAATGTGTACGGCATTTCAAAAACAATTGTCATAATGTGTACGGCATTTCATAAACAAAGTGTCATAATGTGTACGGCATTTCAAAAACAATTGTCATAATGTGTACGACATTTCATAAACAAAGTGTCATAATGTGTACGGCATTTCAAAAACAATTGTCATAATGTGTACGGCATTTCATAAACAAAGTGTCATAATGTGTACGGCATTTCAAAAACAATTGTCATAATGTGTACGGCCTTTCCTTAATAAAGTGTCATAATGTGTACGGCATTTCATAAACAAAGTGTCATAATGTGTATCACATGTCATTGCACGTTTAAGAAAAAAAGACTTTGTGGGGAATTTTATGACAGACATGGACAAAAGGAATGCATACCATTCCTTTTCGTGCAATAAAATGATTACTGTGTTCCAGCCTTAAAGTGTTTCGCAAAATGTGTTAATAATCACATAATACAAGCAACGACTCCTTTCTAGAATTAACTGAGTGTTCAATATTTCAATTGTCATCATTTGTAATTGCATTTGTTACAGTAATTAAATAGGGATTGTGTCAGTTTCTATATGTCACAAAGCACAACTAGCATCCGGGTACCCTGGTTCGGCGATCAGGGCTGAACACAGAGGTGAGGTGTAACGTCGCGTTCAATTTCATTGCACTTAAATCCGAGCGCCAGGCAGGGTAACAACACCTACTATCTTTTGGTATGACGCGGCCGGGGTCCGAACCTCCGACCGTCCGCTGTCCGGTCGTACGCTCTACCACTAGACCACGGAGGCGGTCTCCAGACAGTGAATCCAAGATGGCGGTTAACGAATCACGTCATTGAATTTAGCCGATGCGTTTCAAGTATACATCATTATTGACAAACCAGTGAAATCCCGTCAATCCCCAATGTATACATATGAACAGCCACTACATGTACACGGTGATTGTGGATGTCACGTGGTGGTTTCCATGGTTACCGGGCTAAACGGGCTGCAATAAAAGTGACAAAATCTTTTACTAAATCTCTTCTAAAAGCCCAGTCCGATCCACGATTCCGACTATATCTCAAGTATGTGCTTATGAATTACTAATATCTATTACTGATGGAACCATGTGTTCGCGAAAAGGTGAGCGTATCCTGCCCCGGCTGTGTCACAAACACATGCAAAGACAAGTCAAGTGTGCACCTGATCATTCACGGGAAACACTTTAACATAATGATATGGTACAAGTTGCTTCACTTCCCAAATTCGTAAGAGGCGACTAACGTGATCGACTCGATTATTTACAGACCGCCGTCATATAGCTGGAATATTGCTGAGTGCGGCGTTAAACAACAAATAAACAAACTAACAAACTTCCCACATTCACACCCGGTTCTTTATTGGCGGTTACGGAAAGGGCCGAGTTTGGCCGACTGAGACGAGCAGTGGATCACGGCATGCGTGTTCAGCAAAATGAAAAACAGTCGTTATACGTTTTTAAGCTGATAACAGATATCTTTAAAAGAAGAATAGTGCCACTAGGTTTACGAAACTTAACTAATGTTGTTTGAAATATAATGTTGAAATCAGGCGTCAGATATTTATATACTAATACTTCTTGATTAAATTGAGTACAGTAAGTGTCACAAATAAAATTATTTTACAATTTTTTGTCATCAGTTTTCGTTAAAAAACAAATTGAAAATCTTCAGAATGCGTTTACTGTGTAACCTATTTAGTCATGCACACTAGTCCGTGTGGCTATTCCAATGTTTACATTTGGTTGTGGGCGAGGTCTCACTGGCATTTGCTTATTCCATATCATATTGATTGTGGAAGAATGACGGATAATTATTTGCATGGACATCTTAAAACAACAGGGGGTACGGGTGGCCCAGCCGTCGAAGGCGCGGTAATTCGCGATGATGATTGTGGGTTTGAATCCCGGTTTGCCCCGATTATGTTTCTAGGTTTGTCAGCAGCACACCCGAAACCATGGGTTTCACCGGAGTGGTAAACGTCTGAGACCTGCATCACTTCGGGCTTTCCTCCCACATCAAGCTGCCACGCTTTGATATCACTGAATACTGTTCAAAGTGGCGTTAAACTCACTCACTCTTCAAAAACACCGGATATGTTTTGCAAATCTACGGAGTCCGCCATCTTCAATACTCTGTGGAGTGTTTCCAACCGTCGACCAAGAGTACACGGATGCAAAATTAGCTCCTTACCATTCCCGTGCGAGACATGTCCGGGCGCCTGTGTGACATGCGCAGTGCTGGGGTCCGGGTAACAACAGAAGTTGAGGAAGCCGCAGTGACTAAGAGTCTGGAGTTCCCCTGGGTTACACGACGACCCGAACAGACCACGGCAGTGGCCGCCATATTGAGACTCACATTCTGAAACAACAGGATCAGGGGGTATACAGAAATGGAGACTACTGCTGGATTTGAAATAATTAAATAATGACATGGTACGCATGTATGTATATTTTTCAGTTTGTTTAGAATTTTACGTGACCCAGAAGAGTGAGCGAGTGAGTTAATTTAACACTGTTAATATGACACAGCAGGAGCGAGCGAGTGAGTTGGGTGCACGCCGCTGTTAGCAATATTCCAGCAATATCACGACAGGAGACGCCAGAAATGGGCTTCACACATTGTACCCATGTGAGGAATAGAACCCGGGCTTGACGAGCGAACGCTTTAACCACTCGGCTACCCAAAAGCCCCAAAGAATATGGATTACACACTATCTCAGTATGGTTGAACGTTGTGAACAATGTGTCATAGAAAGTGTCAGCTAAATGAAGTTATGAGACCCATTAACCACCTCCGTGGTCTAATGGTAGAGCGTCCGCCCGGAGAGCGGAAGGTCCGGGGTTCGATCCCCGACCGCGTCATACCAAAAGACGTTAAAAGATGGTAGTTGTTGTTACCCTGTCTTGCGCTCGGCATTAAGAGGCTAAAACAAGGACTGGTCGGCTCGGAGTCAGTATACTGTGTCTGAGTGTGGTATTCATGTTAAACTGCGGCATGGTATCTCAGTGAGCTAGCACTATAAATCGGCATCAGTCCGGACTAGTACAAGCAGCCACACACATACATACACGTGTATGCACGTCTCTATATAAGTGCAATAATCAGTAAACCTCATTTTACCTCACCTATAAGACCCATTAACAAAACGCGGACCGTGAACGTTAGCCACATTGGTGGCACCGAGGAACATGTTTAAGGTCCTCACAGCTTATCTAGGATTCGAACCCAAGAATAGTGGGTCTTGGCTTTGATGACTATCTCTTCCAACTTCCACGACTTGCACTAACAGTATACGCAAATACGTCACCTGTAGTTTGGCCAAGGGACATGTGGACCAGGCAAGCACTGAGGAAGATTTTTAAAGTCGACATAATGAACTCGGCAAACTGAACATTTGGCAAGATAAGACAAGATAAGCGAGTGTATGGAATACCTGACACTGGATTCAACAGGTCGGCGATAAGCAAGTGTTAGATAACTCATCTACCGTAAAACCTCTTCTATACGAACCCCTATCACTGATTATCTGTGTGTGTGGCTCTTTGTACCAAAGGGGCGGTCGGGTAGCCTAGTGGTTAAAGCGTTAGCTCGTCACGTCGAAGACCCGGGTTCGATTTCCGACATGGGTACAATGTGTGGAGCCCATTTCTAGTGTCCCCCGCCGTGATATTGCTAAAAGCGGCGCAAAAACAACATTCACTCGCTCACTCGTTGTACCAAAGGCGACTATGCTTGTCGTAAGAGGCGACTAACGGGATCGGGTGGTCAGGCTCGCTGACTTGGTTGATGCATGTCATCGTATCCCAATTGCATAGATTGATGCTCATGATGTCAATCACTGGAATGTCTGGTCCAGACTCGATTTATTAACAGACCGCCTTCATATAGCTGGAATATTGTTGAGTGCGGCGTTAAACAACAAAAAAACAAAACCTCTACCAAAAGCTCGGAATTTGTTTTCGAAATGCTAGAAAATGCTTTTTTTGGCTTCATTCAGTTAAGGACTATAAAAAGAGCATATATCAAAATAACGCGAATTGACCTAATCTAGTCTGTCCTAACTGACACTGTGATTACCCTAAAAATGTACTTTTACAGGTAAAATGATGATAAACTTAGAAAATATTCTTGCATTGTCATGCATGTATGAAACGGCCTGTAACCTGAGGTAATCAACTGACACCTGTCTCGAGGTGATGACCTCACACCGTCCCGTGCATTCTCACAGGTGCAAATGCCACCCGAGATTGGGGTGGTCTCAAAATATTGCTGTTATTGTACTTAATTGGCATGTGCGTTAATGGAGTATCAAACTTTGGATATGTACTGCATTATACTTGCTTGGAAACATGATGGAATGGTTAAAAGCTATGAAACGGGATGGGTATTGGAAGGTTGAGGTTTTTGAACCAAGAAGTAAATATATAATAGAATAAACAGTGTAGCAGGACGTTAAAACTGAAGAGTGAAAATTATTTGTACTTCTACCATAGAATAGATGTACAGTAAACTACGGTTATAACGAACTCAAAGGGACCACTAACTTTAGTTCGTTATAACCGTAATTCGTTATAAGCATATATACAGCATAACTACAGCATATAGTCGGGAACTAAAAAGTGTGTTCGTTATATCCGTTAGTTCGTTATAAGCGTGTTCGTTATAACCGTAGTTTACTGTATGTTTATGCGAGGATGATACAAAAATCGTTAAGTTAACTATTGTTGGTTTGGTTGGTTTGTTGTTTAACGCCGCAATCAGCAATAATCCAGCTGTATGAAGGCGGTCTGTAAATAAACGAGCCTGGACCAGACAATCCAGTGATTAATATCATGAGCATCGATCTACGCAATTGGGATTGATGTCATGCATTAACCAAGTCAGCGAGTCTGACCACCCGATCCCGTTAGTTACCTTTTACGACAAGCATAGTCACCTTTTACGGCAAGCATGGGTTGCTGAAGACCTGTTCTACCCCGGAATCTTCACGGGTCTAAGTTAACTATTAGTTTATAAAGGAAGTACAAAACAAATAAAGTATTTACATTTTACACTTTGCCTGATCGTGTCAGTGATGTCATAACTTCACCGTCTAATCTCTGAATGAAGCCAAATATATATTATTTTTGAATACGTCACGATCTCGTGCTGTTCGTCAAAAAGCGAATCAAGTAAAGTTTTGTGCACAGTCACCAAAATAGCTCTTGATTTCAATTTTCTTTTTCAAAATATAATGTTAAGTGTAATTGAACTAAAAGGCTGAGGGTGTTCCGTTTTCGATTGGTGTAACTTAACAAGACAAAGAATACATGTAAAGTCGAGATGATTTATATCAATAAAACTGATAAGTAGAATCAGTTATTTAACCTCACGGTTAGATATTATGAGCAACGTACGGTATGGGGGTACGGACATACAGTTAACCAAGTCACCGAGACTGACCCGAGATCCTTCAAGTTGCCTCTAACGACCAGCGGACCGCCTCTGTGGTCTAGTGGTGGAGCGTCCGCCCGGAGAGCAGAAGGTCTGAGGTTCGATCCCCGGCCGCGTCATAACAAAAGACGTTAAAAGATGGTACTTGTTGTTACCCTGTCTGGCGCTCGGCATTAAGGGGCTAAAACAAGGACTGGTCGGCTCGGAGTCAGTATACTGTGTCTGAGTGGGGTATTCATGTTAAACTGCGGCATGGTATCTCAGTGGGCTAGCACTATAAATCGGCATCCGGACTAGTACAAGCAGCCACACGCACACGTACATGCACGTCGCTATATAAGTGCAATCATCTTGGACGCGACGTTAAACCCCATTTCACCTCACCTCACCTCGAACCCACTGTCATAGAACACCTTAATATATCTGCACGGTGAATTGCGGCAACTCAGACCACGGGACCGTCCATGCCACGAAAATGTCAAAGGTAAATCACACCTTCGATTCTTTCAATTACTGTTAGCTTTTATCGGCTTTTAAACATCTTCATGAGGTATTTTTGTCTTGGTATTACTGTGGTATTAAAACAAAACACTCAACAAAACTTAAGAGTTTAATACCTTTAATACAAACACCATACCAATATTGTTCAATCAGCAGCAGGACCTAATCATATTTCTTTATGATATCTTCGATCCAGTCAAGGAAGGAGGAGACACGGGTGTATACTCCGGGGGCGTTCTTCTGGCCACACCCGATACCCCAGGACACGACGCCCGCTATCTTCCACACTCCACCCCTCCTGCACACTAGGGGGCCGCCAGAATCTCCCTGGAACAAGACCAGTGTTATGTCAGAGATCCGTGGACAGGACACCCCCTATCTTCCACACCCCACCCCTCCTGCACACTAGGGGGCCGCCAGAATCTCCCTGGAACAAGACCAGTGTTATGTCAGAGAGCCGTGGACTGGACACCCTGTCTTTTAGATGCATATACTATCATTGGCATGCGGACTGCTCCTATACAATGGACGTTTTTTCAGTCCTTGGCATCAATGTAGTGTCATGATAGTGAACCAGGACTCACCTGACACGCGTCTTTGCCGTCCTGAGTGTATCTTGTAGTCATCAATGGTGTGTCATCACTGTGAACGTGGACTCACCTAACACGCGTCTTTGCCGTCCTGAGTGTATCTTGTAGTCATCAATGGTGTGTCATCACTGTGAACGTGGACTCACCTAACACGCGTCTTTGCCGCCCCGCGAATATGTTGTAGACATCAATGTAGTGTCACGATTGTAAACGTGGACTCACCTGACGCGCGTCTTTGCCGCCCTGTGAGTATCTGGTAGACATCAATGTAGTGTCATGACTGTGAACGTGGACTCACCTGACACGCGTCTTTGCCGCCCTGCGAGTATCTTGTAGTCATCAATGTAGTGTCACGATTGTGAACGTGGACTCACCTGACACGCGTCTTTGCCGCCCTGCGAGTATCTTGTAGTCATCAATGTAGTGTCACGATTGTGAACGTGGACTCACCTGACACGCGTCTTTGCCGCCCTGCGAGTATCTTGTAGACATCAATGTAGTGTCACGATTGTGAACGTGGACTCATCTGACACGCGTCTTTGCCGTCCCGCGAGTATCTTGTAGACATCAATGTAGTGTCACGATTGTGAACGTGGACTCATCTGACACGCGTCTTTGCCGCCCCGCGAGTATCTTGTAGACATCAATGTAGTGTCACGATTGTGAACGTGGACTCATCTGACACGCGTCTTTGCCGACCCGCGAGTATCTTGTAGACATCAATGTAGTGTCACGATTGTGAACGTGGACTCATCTGACACGCGTCTTTGCCGCCCCGCGAGTATCTTGTAGACATCAATGTAGTGTCACGATTGTGAACGTAGACTCACCTGACACGCGTCTTTGCCGTCCCGCGAGTATCTTGTAGACATCAATGTAGTGTCACGATTGTGAACGTGGACTCATCTGACACGCGTCTTTGCCGCCCCGCGAGTATCTTGTAGACATCAATGTAGTGTCACGATTGTGAACGTGGACTCATCTGACACGCGTCTTTGCCGCCCTGTGAGTATCTGGTAGACATCAATGTAGTGTCACGATTGTAAACGTGGACTCACCTGACACGCGTCTTTGGCGGCCCGCGAGTATCTGGAAGACATCAATGCAGTGTCACGATTGTGAACCAGGACTCACCTGACACGCGTCTTTGCCGTCCTGCGAGAATCTGGTAAACATCAATATAGTGTCATGACTGTGAACGTGGACTCACCTGACACGCGTCTTTGGCGCCCCGCGTGTATCTGGCGGACATTAATGTTGTGTCACGATTGTGAACCAGGACTTACCTGACACGCGTCTTTGCCGCCCTGTGAGAATCTGGTAGACATCAATGTAGTGTCACGATTGTGAACGTGGACTCACCTGACACGCGTCTTTGCCGCCCTCTGAGAATCTTGTAGACATCAATGTAATGTCATGGCTGTGAACGTGGACTCACCTGACACGCGTCTTTGCCGCCCTGTGAGAATCTAATAGACATCAATGTAGTGTCATGACTGTGAACGCCGACTCACCCGACACGCGTCTTTGCCACCCTCTGAGAATCTTGTAGACATCAATGTAGTGTCAAGATTGTGAACGTGGACTCACCTGACACGCGTCTTTGCCGCCCTCTGAGAATCTTGTAGACATCAATGTAATGTCATGGCTGTGAACGTGGACTCACCTGACACGCGTCTTTGCCGCCCTGTGAGAATCTAATAGACATCAATGTAGTGTCATGACTGTGAACGCCGACTCACCTGACACGCGTCTTTGCCACCCTCTGAGAATCTTGTAGACATCAATGTACTGTCATGGCTGTGAACGTGGACTCACCTGACACGCGTCTTTGCCGCCCTGCGAGTATCCGGCACAAATGTTGGAGGTGTGGATGTGGCTTCCCATGTAGTAGGAGCAGAGCTTGTTGTTCATGATGGGCACGTCCACCTCCTGCAGGAAACGCTGGATGTGACCCTCTGCAACACGTCATTAATTTTAAAGAATCTGATTGGCTAGATGCCGTATTGTGAAAACCCATACAAATCATCTGGCCTGACCACAGTGATGAGTGGGTGAGTGAGTTGGGGTTAACGCCACTTTTAACAGTATTCCAGTTATATCGCGGCGTGTCAGCTTAATGTGGGAGGAAAGCCCGAAGTGATGCAGGTCTTAGACGTTTACCGCTTCGGTGAAACCCACGAGCACGGGTATGGTGCTGACAAAACCTAGAAACATAATTGGCGCGAACCGGAATTCGAACCAACAATCATAGGTTTCTGGCGTGCCATAGGGACGCTACTCTGCACAGCGAATCGCGGCGTCTGAGACTACTGGGCAACAGTGCCCCGGGGTAGTGATGACCCTCACAATCAAATTAGCATATCAATTGACCGTACTTTTCTTTTGTTTGTAAACGAAAGCGCGTATTCTGGAATCAGAGCAATCCGGGCTAGTGAAAGCCCTTCAGTACTCTGCGTTTTGTCAGATTGTTTCACATGAATATATAGATTTTCTACTCCGACTGCAACACCGAGAAGTTGGTCGTTACATGCATAACATACCCCTAACGATCCGGGTAGAATAGGTCTTCAGCAACCCATGCTTGCCGTAAAAGGCGACTATGCTTGTCGGGAGAGGCGTTAACGGGATCGGGTGGTCAGTCTCGCCGACTTGGTTGATGCATCAATTGCAGGAATCGATGCTCATGATTTCAATCACTGGATTGACCAGACCCGGTTATTTACAAATCTTCAGCAACCAGGGAGAGTATTCCCTGCTTCATCTACAAACCCGTACGAAGCGTTCATAGCTGGATTGAAAGTAGTGGTGGGAATGCAATTTGTTCAACTATACAATGGGGGCGGTCGGGTAGCCTAGTGGTTAAAGCATTCGCTCGTCACGCCGAAGACTCGGGTCCGATTCCCGACATGGGTACAATGTGTGAAGCCCATTTCTGGTGTCCCCCGCCGTGATATTGCTGGAATATTGCTAAAAACGGCGTAAAACCATATTCACTCACTCACTCAACTATACAATGGAAACACTCGGTGTTTACCCGAATATGCCGCTCCCCATCCTGTGACTGTACAAACCAACCCATCAAAGGCCTCGTCTCTGTCAGGTAAACAAGCCGCCCTGGTGTCTTTGTGTTGGGTGTCCACCCTCTTGGCCAGCTTGATCATGGCGACGTCGTTGGAGTTGGTGCTGGAGCTGTACCCAGAGTGTGTGAACACACGGGCTGCGTCGATCACTTGGCTGACCTGGACGTTGTAGATGTCGTGAAGGCCGATGCCGACTGTCCAGTAGTTGCCGTAGGTTCTACGAACAAAGTGAATGAGTGATGTTTTACGCCGATTGTAGCAATATTCCAACAACAGCGCGGGACGATACATTGCATACATGGAGGGTGTGGGAAGGTAAGAGGGACCCCTTGTAAACGTGACAGAAACAAACATGGAGTGAGTGAGTATGGTTTTACGCCGCTTTTAGCAATATTCCAGCAATATCACGGCGGGGGACACCATAAATGGGCTTCACACATTGTACCCATGTCGGGATTCGAACCCGGGTTTTCGGCGTAGACAAACATGGAAGATATTAACAATGGACTTTGTTCGAAATGTGTCCGTTCCCCTAGCAGTGAATGGGTACCCGGTAGGATGAGATGGCAATGTGGTTGTTAACCTTCTTGCACCTGAGAGGCGGCTTTGGGTGTATACTCCTCAGGGAGCTGAGAATCGTTGTTGAATGAATGAATGAATGAATGAAAGCACACTGATCCAATGACGGGGTAATAATAGCGCTTTGAGACCTGTCTGATTTGGAAATATTTATTTCTTTAAAAATACACACCATCATGATTTAAATCACTCTTGACATTACGCACAGGTCCTTACTTAGCTGTACCGTACATATACTATTTGATACTCCTGCTGTTTGATTAAGTTCAGCTTTGTGGTATATATATATATGACCCTTAATAAAAACGCATTTGTATTTTGATCGTAACTTTATTTTAGTTAAGATAATGTTGGAAGTTGAGTTGGGTTGAGTTGGGTTTAAGGCCGCTTTTAACAGTATTCCAGTTACATCACGACGTGTCGGCTTAATGGTGGGAGGAAAGCCCGAACTGATGCAGGTCTCAGACGTTTACCACTTCGGTGAAGCCCACGAGTATGGTGCTGACAAACCTAGAAACAATCTGGGCGAAACGGGATTCGAACCCACAATCATAGGTTTCTGGCGTGCCCAAGGGACGCAACTCTGCACAGCGAATCGCGGCGCCTTAGACGACTGGGCCACTTGTGCCTCGGCAATGTTTAAGTAACGATGATTGCATACACTGTCCCTGGTTCGAGTGACTTACTGCTGGAAGCAATGGGCCGCAGTCAGTACCCACTGGTCCTGGATGAGGGTCCCTCCACACAGATGCTGACCGTTGTACCGTAGCGACACCTGGAGGACAAAGGGTGGAGTCATTCACACACAGTTCAATCATTTTTATCCGACACCCCGTGGGATGTCGGGATTAGAACAGGTCACCAGTAACCTCACGCTTGTCATACGAGTGGACTGAATACCATCCTTATGCTTTGTCTCGTCCAGATTCGACCATTTACACCGGCTGTAATATTGCTGGAATAGTGCGGCGGTTAACAACATTCACTCACTCACACTGAATACACTGGTCTGAAGGATGATGTATACGGTCTCCCACAACCACAAGAATGAACCGCGCTGAACCCAGTGGGAACTTGAGAACTTCCCCATGACCGGGTTGTAAGAATGAAGATCGTGCAACCACAGTGTGTAACTAATTTTAAAGTCACCGTCCTGATTCATGCTATTAACGGATGGTGCAATGTCCAACTGACCAACGTTACGCCACTGTCATCGCCCAGAGCGTTGCCACCGGTTAGCTTGGCCCAGATACACGTGTGTCCACTCATTGTACGTACCTGCCAGGGGTACTCGTGGGGTTCAGCAGGACCCCCTCCCACAATCCTGTGATTGTGACCCACCAAGGTGACGCCACAGGTGCCTGTAAACATACGGTATGCTGTGAACATAGGGTATGCTATCAACAAAGGGCATCCTGTGAACACACTTTACTTAAATCTTTAAATTCCAAAACTGAATTCATTTTTAAGGACCATCCCGGGTACAAAACATACAGCAGTTAAAAACAAAATCCAATACAACCCAAAGAAAATCATACTGTGATGCATTCTGTACCTGTGAAGATCCGGGGTAGAATAGGTCTTCGGCAACCCATGCTTGCCGTAAAAGGCGACCATGCTTGTCGCAAGAGGCGAATAACGGGATCGGGTGGTCAGGCTCGCTGACTTGGTTGATGCATGTCATCGTATCCCAATTGCGTAGATCGATGCTCATGATGTCCATGATGTGATATTAAAATCCAATAAAAATATAACGCTTACGTGAATCTACACCGGCGCCAGATGAGTTGGTTGGTAGTGCTGGGAGAATAGGTTGGCTGTTTGTAGTATGATGGTTTGGTCCGGTTACATGGCTGCCTGATCCGGGTCCTAGATTCGATCCTCCAGTGCCCGGATGATATAAATCAGGATGGCAGCAGAGTTTAAGAAAACCGCAGTGGCTGAATGAAAGCGCGTCACCACTTCGACACGGCTCTGTGTAGTTGACACAGTACCCCTTATAAATGGTTTCACAATCTGCAAGAGATTTCAGTGAAACCATGTTATTCCGGAAACGCTGCGTTCGCGAACACCTGGTGTCATTATTCATTTTTACGTTATCCATTCGTGTAATTTCCACCGATATTTTCCCTTTTATGTGGAATCGGTGGATAATCGAGACTCATTGTTCTCTGGCGCTGACGTTACAGTAAACAACGTTTATAACGAACACGTTTATAACGAACTGACCGATATAACGAACTCATTTCTTAGCCCAGGCCGTTTGTTGTATATATGCTGTAGTATGCTTATATTGTTTGTTTGTTGTTTAACGCCGCACTCAGCAATATTCCAGCTATATGACGGCATATATGCTTATAACGAATTACGGTTATTACGAACTAAAATTAGTGGTTCCTTTGAGTTCTCTGTAACCGTAGTTTACTGAATATAGTTATAGGTCGTTACTGAGGTTAAAGTCTGCACATCTATAACGAAACGCGATTCTGTGCATAATCCGTTAATTCAGACTTGATTTAGGACCGCCTAATTAAACAGTTGTAAACTGTTGTGATTGAGTGGGTTTGGTTTTACGCCGCTTTTAGCAATATTCCAGCATTATCACCGCGGGGGACACCAGAAATGTGCTTCACACATTGTACCCATATGGCAAAGCGAACCCGGGGCTTCGGTGGGACGAGCGAACGCTTTAGCCACTGGGCTAACCCACTGCTCCTGTAAACTGTACACAGACAGGGAAAAAAGGAACGCTGTAATAACAGAAGAAAGTGTACGGGGTTATAGACCCGTCCGAAACATTACACCAACATCCTAGTAACTCTGTCCCGTGAAGACCCGGGGAAGAGTAGGTCTTCACCAACCCGTACTTGCCGTAAAAGGCGACTATGCTTGTCGTAAGAGGCGACTAAGGGGATCGGGTGGTCAGGCTCGCTGACTTGGTTGATGCATGTCATCGATCCCAATTGCGCGGATCGATGCTCATGATATCAATCACTGGATTGTCTGGTCCAGACTCTGGTCCAGACTCGAAAGGGGTCACCCATCCAACCACAGTAAACTACGGTTATAACGAACACGCTTATAACGAACTGACGGATATAACGAACTAACTTTTTAGTCCCGACTATTTGCTGTAGTTATGCTGTATATATGCTTATAACGAACTACGGTTATAACGAACTAAAATGAGTAGTCCCTTTGAGTTCGTTATAACCGTAGTTTACTGTACTCCCCTTGACAACCGTTGCTTATCTTCACCTGACCTGTGGCCTGTATGCAGGACCACGTGCGAACACATCCTTGTCACACATATCTTCACCATTTAACGTACAGTAAACTACGGTTATAACGAACTCAAAGGGACCACTAACTTTAGTTTGTTATAACCGTAGTTCGTTATAAGCATATATACAGCATAACAATAGCAATTAGTCGGGACAAAAAAATCAGTTCGTTTTATCCGTCAGTTCGTTATAAGCGTGTTCGTTATAAACGTACTTTACTGTAGTCACATGTGTCAAAACTAAACGCTTAAAAGAAATGATCTAGTTGTTTGTTTGTTGTTTAACGCCACACTCAGCAATATTCCAACTATATGACGGCGGTCTGTACATAATCGAGACTGTACCAGACAATCCAGTGATTGATATCATGATCATCGATCAACGCAATTGGGATACGATGACATGCATCAACCAAGTCAGCGAGCCTGACCACCCGATTCCCTTCGTCGCCTCTTAAGACAAGCATAGTCGCCTTTTACGGCAAGCATGGGTTGCTGAAGACCTATTCTAACCTGGATCTTCACGGGTCGCTTATGAAAATAGGGGTATGGATAAAGCAAACAATTTGTTTATTTGGCTAACACTAAGTAATGACATTTACCTGTCTGATGGGGTTTAGTTACCGAAGTGCCAGGCGGCCGCTGGTTGATGGGGGAGGGCGTGGCAGGTTCGTGATGACCCCCGCTGGAGTGGTGTCGTGGGTAGCAGCAGTACGTCATGAACCCACAGCGAGGGGTGTAGGAGTGAATGTATCCCTCCGGGCAGGTCTCCGTGTACCGGACACATATGCCATCATAGTCCAGCCGGCAGTCTGGCAGGCAGAAGTATCAATGTATGGACGTAGGTTAGACACAGACTATAACTCTGTGTACACTGACATCCATAGAAAATAGAACAACTCATGCTTGCCGTAAAAGGCGTCTATGCTTGTCGTAAGAGGCGACGATCGGGATCGGGTGGTCAGGTTCAGTGACTTGGTTGATGCATGTCATCGAATCCTAATTGCGTTGATCGATGCTCATGATGTCAATCACTGGATTATCTGGTCGAGTCTCGATTATGTACAGACCGCCGTCATATAGCTGGAATATTGCTAAGTGCGGCGTTAAAGAAAAAAACAAACAAAACAAACAGACATAGAAGATAAATACTTATGAACACATAGGTGTGAAATGATTATAAATACTTATATTATATTATTACTGTCCGCATGGTCACGGGAGCAGATTCTCCAATGAACATGTTGAGGTCTAGAAACATTAAATGGACAGAAAGACACAGTTCCTGGGAACCTTTGACGTTAAAGACATTGCACATTCTGTTCTGGGGATGTGATATATAACTGACAGGTTCTCTTGACCGACATACCCTTGCTCAGAAGGTCTTACATGATACACAAATGCCAAGACTTAGATAGCACCACCGTCAAACCGTCTTCGGACGTCTGACGGCGGGGTTATGCTTGTCTCCAGGGCGACCATCAGCGGGTTCTGGATACCATACAACACCACGGGAAATGTCTCTGATAGGCTTACACTTACCATCCTGCACAGGACCGTAATATTACACTCCAATACTAAGTTTTTATTCAGAAAACATGCGTCACCATAATACCCTTTTAAAGGCATGATTTATAACCCTGCATTTATCTCGGATTAAAAACGCGTGTTTAAAAGTTCTATATTGCTCATTTTGATATGCCATAATCTGACATTTAAGTAAACGAATATTGTGTTTTTTTTATCCATATTCATAAGTTGTAATGGCATGTAAGCAGATCAAACGCGAAACTGCAGGGGCGAGGCGATTCTTTTTCACGAGCCGATAGTTTAGAGTGTGTTCTATGATGTTCCCTTCTTTCTCTAAATTTAAATACATCACAACGTTTAGACTTGTGATAAAACATTCTTTTGAATAAAAAAAATAATTAACAGAACATAACATGCGAGCATCTCCAAAGCTCTCAAAATATTAAAACTACAAAAGGCATTTACCATTGAATCCTGAGGCCAAAGACACAACGGCCACAAAAATTGTGAGACGCTCCATCGTTACTTGACTGTCCACCTTCATTGAGCTGCCTGGATTGAGGAGATCGCAGGCTGTGTGCGGGTATAAACCCCCCCTGGGTGAGATACAGCACGGCCCGAGACAGGTGGGCAGTGGCCACCGTTCACAACTCTGATGTTACAAAACTGACCTTTTCACACAGAGTTCAGCCACTCGATATATGATAACGCTGTTTTGTTCACCGATTTCTTCCAAATTTCTAATGAATAAATACGGTAAATATAAAACGTCACACTGCAAACATGAAAACGTCGGGTTGTTTTCGTATATGGTCCTAGGACAGAAAAACGACGTTTTTTTGGACGCTTTCAAACCGTCGTTTTTCCGTCAAGATAACGTCGTTATTTGACATCGGAATTTACTTGGAGAGAACGATCTCATCAAGCACCTCCTTTTCTTTATTGCCATCTGGGATTCGAACTCTTTCCACAAACGTATGAACAAATAAAGAAAATCATATATAAACCACAGTTTTATTGTTTCTGTTTAATCTAAATTAGGATTGGTTGGAAACAAAATTATATCGTACAGTCCCTGGATCAGCTGATGATGTTGTGTATCCACTGTGTGTAGCTGGAGACCCTGGTGTAGACCCCCGGGAACCTGCTGTCCCCACACTGCTTCCCCCACGACACTACACCTGTCAGGTGCCACACCCCCTGTTCCACGCAAGCGAGGGGGCCTCCAGAATCGCCCTGATGAAAAGCCATATGGAAGTTGATCATTCGTAGGTCCTTATTTGCACTGAACTCACATACACATCTTGTATTAATTAAGTTCCACCGTTCCCCGTTATCGTTGCTCACAATATCAATCACTGGATTGTCTGGGCCAGACTCGATTGTTTACAGCCACGTCATATAGCTGGAATATTGTTGAGTGTGGCGTTAAATAAACAAACAAACAAAAAACAAACAAACAAACAAATCATATTATATAAGGCCATAACGTCGATAATGACCCTTCCAGAATAATAGATTGTCTATATCATATCGGGTCAATGAAGTAGACCTCTTCAACTCCCCACACCCCCTCCCAAATTACATGGGGGCATTTCATTACATCGAGAAAACACGACGATGTCCCTTCTAGAGTTCCTTTTGTGGGTTCCCACATGTTAGACAGCTGATTGAAATAAGCCATTCGAGTTAATGTGGTTTCATGAAGTAAGCATACCCTACACTGTCAAGGCACAGTCATGTTATTAGGCAAAAAACAATATCGATGTGACTTTAGTGAGTGAGTGAGTATGCTTTTAGCAATATTCCAGCAATATCACGGCGGGGGACACCAGAAATGGGCTTCACCCGGGTCTTCAGCGTGACGATCGAACGCTTTAACCACTAGGCTACCCGACCGCCCCGATGTGACGATAACCTTAAACTCACACAATCTCTAAGTTATTCATTACTCACTCACTCACTCACTCACTCACTCAATCACTCAATCACTCAATCACTCACTCACTACAGGCGACTGACCACTCACTACAGGCGACTGACCAGGTTGGGGCAGTTACAATGTATATCCCGGCTGATATGAAGTTATTCATTACTCTGAGCGCTCAATCGCTCGCTCGCTCACTCACTCCCTGCCTTCCTCCCTGCCTCCCTCCCTCCCTCCCTCCCTCCCTCCCTCACTCACTCACTCACTCACTCACTCACTACAGGCGACTGACCACTCACTACAGGCGACTGACCACTCACTACAGGCGACTGACCAGGTTGGGGCAGTTACAATGTATATCCCGGCTGATTGGGTGTCAGCGTTGCTCATAGTATTACCCACTGCTGGTCCAGAATCTTCCCGACTCAGTGACAGCATTCATAGCAATATAAACTGTACCTCGCAAGCGTCGTTTCCCCCTCCACCAGCACATATGTTGTTGTCGAAGATGGTGTAGTCAACGCCGGCGTAGTCCGTCCTACATTTAGCCAACGGTACAATGGACACACCAGCTTGCTTCAGATAACCGATGTCCTTGTTACCTTGACAAAAGGAACATTTATATTAGACACTAGTCTCACACAATACAGACATATAAGCTTGCTTCAGGTAACCTATGTCCTGGTGATCTTGGACACAGGAACATCACTGTTAGACACACGTCTCACATAATACAGACACAAAAGTGTACTTCATGTAACCGATGTTCTGGTGACCTTGACAAAAGGAACATTTTACATACGTACACACATCCGTAACACAAGTGTCAAAACGTGTGGTGTCAACCCGGGACAAGTGACATAGTTCAAATGTGCCTCTGTTCTACCGGCAAGGAATGGATGACCGATATGTGAGATGGATGTAAAAGCCCCTGCTATATGTACAGCGCCCGTAGACAGCTTGGCTTGTATACTGGAATGCAAACGGATCCACTGGTCGGGGAACAAATAAAACCGCATTTGAGCAGATACTAGTAGCTGGATATACTATGCTATGCTATGCTATGCTATGCTATGCTATGCTATGCTATGCTATGCTATGCTATGCTATGCTATGCTATGCTATGCTATGAGATATGATATGGTAACTTTCCTCACCATGAGTCTCTCCCCATCCAGACACAACACAGTCGGTGGCCGAGTTGGCTGTTTTGGGGAGACAAATCGGCCTGACGTTGTTGTTGAAGGCAAACTGGCTGTTGATGCGTATCAAAGCTATGTCATTTTGGCCAGTTATCTTCTGCAACGTTAAGGTGTGTAATGTTAATCTTGTCCAACATTAACATCGCGTGGTACTCATGTAATTTGAAATAAACATTATGTTTTCTACTCTATCAAAGACCTATTATTAGTTTCAAGCCTGGGTCTAGATTGTTTTCTGCCTGAAGTATATATGTTTTAACGTGAAGTGCTTTATATTCAGAACTTTCGGGAGTAGATCACATCAAGTCGTATCTTGTTAAGATTACATTCAGACATAATCAAACGAGTAATTCCCACCTGTTCCACTGGAGGCTTTTTCATATTCTTGAAGCTTGAAGAGGATTAGTCAATACATTCATCGACTGGTACGTTTTATTGTGCATTTGGTGAGAAAAAGTACGAGAATCTGTACTTTACTGAGAAAGTGTTATCCAAAATAAAACATTTGTTGTATTTGGTGATGATTTAACGAAAATACAGAATCGAAACAACCCTGTCTTCATTCCTTCTACAGCGTCTAAATGTCACTTCAGGATATTTTCCGTATATGACTTAACACAGTGAACCAGCGTTATGTTGATCGTAAAGCCAGGGTGTCGAAACGGCTTCTGATTGGGCGATGCATCTTCCCGAGGCAAGGGAGTTCACTGACTTTAAAAGTCCAGATCCCACCTTTGCCGAACTAGGTTGGAATTATGAAGTTATATTTTGGGCTGGACTAACGAGTCTATGCATAGTCCAATCAAAATCGCGTAACGAAATCGACATCTGGTTCGTACACTGTCGTGCAGATTTCGGTCGATTGCAGGGTTTGCAACTCGGCGTTAACAGATATTTTCCAAATCTTTTTATGTTTTATAATCAAGATGCTCACGTGATTTGATTCACTTCCCGAAGCAAAACCTGTTTTATCGCAATACAGATTTTGATTATTGATCAGATCGTCTTGACTGGGCACCGCCATTTTGTTTGAAGCAAATACAAGTGATATGAGAGGTGTCATCTGATTGGCCAATAGGAGGGACATAGCAGGGACATAACTCGTAACAGCCCCGGATGGCGCTTCGATCGCGCTTAGAAATTCCAAGGCAAGGGTGGAAACTGGACTTTTACAGTCAGTTATCTCCCTTGCCTTGGAAAAATGCGGCGATATTGTTCGCCTTACATGATATATGGAGATACTGGTATTCGAGTTCACGATGTCTCGCTGTATATCTATATATATTACCAACATTAAACTCTGGATGGAGTAAGATGCTATGTATGCTGTAGTATTGCTCTGTCCCGTCATGGGCCTTTGTGTTGTACTCTCCCGCCCTCACCATGTAGCCTCCCGCGTTGTCCGCACTGGCAACAAGTGGAAGAAACACAATCAATACTATACTGAGTCAGATTAAAAATCCACATTTTTAAAAGTAATCCCATATATGATATACAACGGTCAAATGTATCAGAGAAGGTAATTTTTAATCATTAATGTCCAAAGAAGGATTTTAATTAACGGTGGTAACCATAGTTTGTTCCAAGCACCTACGGTACTCGGTAATAACATCAACAGTTTAAATCATAAGTCCCAATCTGAAGTTCAGTAGCGTGTATGGCCACCATGTGCGTTGGCAACTGCCACACAACGCCTCCGCATGGACCTTGTGATGCTTGTGAACACATGACTGGGAAGACGACGCCATTGTTGCTGCCATATGGTGCCAAGATCTTGCACATTCTGTGGTTGGTTCTGGAGAGTGCGCAGACTTCTGCAAAGAGCATCCCAGCATTAGGGGTCTGGCATTGTCTGGCATTGTCGTGTTGGAAGATCAAACCGGGTCCATGTGCTGCCATTAAAGGCAGAGGTTCTGGTGCCAGTACCTGGCCGCGGTAAGCAGCAGCGTTGATTTTGCCACGGATGACAAGAAGCCTGGAACGTGCATTGCCACAGAAAGCACCCCACACCATGACACTTCCACCTCGAAATCTGTCAACTTCCTGTACACAACACTGGGCGTAACGTTCATGACGGCGCCTCCACACCCTCGCCCTACCATCAGCAAATCGAAGATTAAATCGGGATTCATCACTGAAGACGACTTGATTCCAATTCCTCTGAATCCATCGTAAGAGTCTCTGTGCCCACAATTGACGTTGACGTCTGTGTAATTGAGTCCCGCAGTATGGCCGTCGTGCTTGAAGGTGAGCAGTTCTCAGACGGTTTCGAACAGTTTGCGCACTCAGTCTACCCCTAAACAGTTCATTTCTGGTTGATGTAGCCGTCAAAATCGGTTACGGAGGTGACGTAAGACAAGTTGACGATCCTCTGCATGTGACGTCACACGTGGTCGACCTGGCCGAGGGCGATCAGCGGTGGTACCCGTTTGCTGTAGACGCGTCTGTAAATCGTAAACAGTCCGTCGACTACAACCAATCGTCCTTGCGACTTCAGCTACGGACGTTCCCGTCTGCAACATGCCGATGGCACGTTCACGTTGCACATTTGAAAGGCGTGGCATGACAAATGGCCGTAAAGACTTTTGTTTTCTTGTGTTTTTCTTTTTTTGTCAATGACTGCTAACCAGTATGGCTGAAAACACGTGCGGTATTATGGCCACGTGACCAGTTGCACGTGAAAAAAACACTTTTGCCACTATAGTGCTGTGCACATGATTTTGATCGATTCACCTGCACAAAAACGGGTGTTATCTGAAGACAATACGTGGCCATTACTGTTTACATACACAATAAGGGCCCACAATGATAACTGGTCAAAATGTTAAAATTTTAAGATTGTGAAGTTTTTAATTTGGTTCAGTATAGTATAACATACGTTCCGAATAAACAATTACAAAAATGAATATAATTTGCTTTGAATATTGGTAATACGTTGCCCTACATATGGAATTTGTTTTACTTAGCCATATGTTTATGTTTATTTGTTTATATCAAAGACCTCTATATCCAACTCAAATAAAAGAAGTTAACTGCCACTTGAAAAATTGAACTTCCCCCAAAATATTACAAACGTTTTCAAAACGTTTCTAAGCTGAAAACATAAGCCAAAACACTGCAAAATTAAAGAAAAAAAAACACGACTATGATACACGGTGGTGGTAAAAAAAAGAGAATACAATAATGGCTATTCGATGGTGATGTATTTGATACAGGTACATGTATCATACCTCTAGTTGTGTTTGGATACCGTTTGTAATTTTTGGTTCAAGTCCAAAGCTACTTCTTGCTCCTTCATCAGGTGAATGCTAAGTAAGTGCATACAGTACTAAATATATATCATGATGTTCACACAAGACAAGGTGGGATGAATGTACATGGATAACAATATAATGACGAAGCCGATGGGATAGGATTAATGTATAAAATCACTATAAAAAAGTGTCATGTATTCATGTACTCCCAACTTCTAAATGCCTACCTGAGACAAATATGTATCACTATTTTAATGAACTGAAATGAATTTTAGGTTTTCTTAGAAATAATGTTAATTGAAGACGTACTGTTGCATGCAATGGGCAGCGGTGAGGAGCCACGTATTCGCGATGATTGCTCCCGAGCAGGCATATTTGTCGTTATACGTTATAAAAGCCTGTGAAGAAAGGAAGGGCATATTAGTGTGGATAGCTTTAGCATGTGATTTTGAAAAAGTGACTTTAGTTTGATCCCAAATACCACTGGATACTGGTACACCTAAGGGACGCAACTCTGCATAGCGCATGTCTACGCCTTCGCCGACTTATTACAAAGGTGAGTCCACTTCTTCCGACATTACACACTAACTATATACTGTAACATGAAACAATGAGTGAGTGAGTGAGTGAGTTGGGTTTAACGCCGCTTTTAACAGTATTCGAGTTATATCGCGGCGTGTCAGCTTAATGTGGGAGGAAAGCCCGAAGTGATGCAGGTCTCAGACGTTTACCACTTCGGTGAACCCACGAGCACGGGTATGGTGCTGACAAACCTAGAAACATAATCGGGGCGAACCGGGATTCGAACCCACAACCATAGGTTTCTGGCGTGCCCAAGGGACACAACTCTGCACAGCGAATCGCGGCGCCTTAGACGACAGGGCCATCCGTGCCCCCCAAGGTTGATGAAGGTCATTTACGTTTGCTTTATCCAAAATTGCTACTCCACCCACCTGCCATGGCCATTCCCCGGGTACAGACCGCGACCCCCCGACGATTCTCCTGCCGATGATGTGCCCACCAAGCACTCTAGTTCCGCATTGTGCTAGGGGAAATAACTCTGATAAGACACTCGGTGTGAAGGCGTTCAAAGATGCAACAACCTACACAATCTTATTCACTTCAAGATATCATATGAACGGGTCGGGGTAAGATAGTGAGACCCTACATCAAGTTTTTTCTAGATAATTATGTTTTGTGGGTTGCAAGGTCCAGTATAACAAAAGAAACATGAGTTATTCCCCTTTGCTGGTTAGGTGCAGAATTGCATCATCTCCATATTTGTGATAAGTCACATGTATGTAGAGCCATCTTGGCAAGACCGTGACAAGCCACAAAATCATGGCCGAACGCATGCTGTCTGAAGAGGATGTTTTGAGAGAAATCTCAGGTCTGAGTGAAGACTAATATTTTTTTATAAATTATCAAACTTTGAAAATCATTTATCTCAAAAGTAGGTTTGTGTGGATTATCACTATGTTACCCCGACCCATTCTTATTTCACGCATGAATACAAGCCAAAATAGGGAATAAATGACATGTGTATGACTTACTTGGATTGCTATACTGGATGGATTGTGTTCGAAAAGCAGTTGCTACATCTGTCGAGAAGAAACAGTGCGATAAATGACATACATGTACGAAGTCCTTCACCAGCGAAGAATATGTTGTAAATAAGGGATCGTGGTATACCCTGACACTTCATTCTGTGGATTTTGTCTTTGCACGCATTTGTCTGTTCCTGTGGTAATATTGTTTATGTAGGTTTGAATTGAGTGAGTGAGTGAGTGAGTGAGTTGGGTTTAACGCCGCTTTTAACAGTATTCCAGTTATATCAGCTTAATGTGGGAGGAAAGCCCGAAATGATGCAGGTCTCAGACGTTAACCACTTCGGTGAAACCCACGAGCACGGGTATGGTGCTGACAAACCTAGAAACATAATCGGGATTCGAACCCACAACCATAGGTTTCTGGCGTGGCCAAGTGACGCAACTCTGCACAGCGAATCGCGGCGCCTTAGACGACTGGGCCACCTCAAAACGGGATATAACACATGCAGGTCTAATGATACAGCATAAGATAGTGCAAGGGGTCACCTATTGTAGGGTGTGTCAAGGGATGCTGTCCAACACAACACAGGTGGGTGTGGCCATGTTGATGATGGCAGTCGGCGGACCGAAATATATGATGGCAATCACTGTGATGAGAAGAGCAGATTCCGCCGTGTTGTCGACACTCATCTAGAATCAGGCATAGTTATGAATATTTCAGCTTCATTATCATAAAAGTAAACTAAACCCGTGGGACGATTCCTGGGTAGACGAGGTCCCAAATACCCCAAGAACCGTCTTTAATGAGTGAGTGAGTTGGGTTTAACGCCGCTTTTAACAGTATTCCAGTTATATCGCGGCGTGTCAGCTTTATGTGGGAGGAAAGCCCGAAGTGATGCAGGTCTCAGACGTTTACCACTTCGGTGAAACCCACGAGCACGGGTATGGTGCTGACAAACGTAGGAACATAATCAGGGCGAACCGTGATTCGAACCCACAACCATAGGTTTCTGGCGTGCTCAAGGGACACAACTCTGCACAGCGAATAGCGGCGCCTTAGACGACTGGGCCACCCGTGCCCCCCGTCTTTAATGAAGACAGGGGTTATAATGTGTAACCTCGTATCCTCGTATCCCAATAACGTGTGTCACCTACCACTAATTGACCAGTCCGAATCGATTACCTGTATTCCTACTTGGTGCAGCCTGAATATTGCTTCCTACGGCTAACAAGAACACTGACCCACAGTAACCTTTTGTCTAAACTTGTGCATAGCTTTATCATTAACGTATACACACCAGGACAGAAACAGGCTAACCTGCAAATGTCCCCCGATCACACAAACACCAGGACAGAAACAGGCTAACCTGCAAGTGTTCCCCCCGATCACACAAACACCATGACAGAAACAGGCTAACCTGCAAGTGTTCCCCCCGATCACATAAACACCAGGACAGAAACAGGCTAACCTGCAAGTGTTTCCCCCGATCACACAAACACCATGACAGAAACAGGCTAACCTGCAAGTGTTCCCCCCGATCACACAAACACCATGACAGAAACAGGCTAACCTGCAAGTGTTCCCCCCGATCACACAAACACCAGGACAGAAACAGGCTAACCTGCAAGTGTTCCCCCCGATCACATAAACACCAGGACAGAATCAGGCTAACCTGCAAGTGTTCCCCCCGATCACACAAACACCAGGACAGAATCAGGCTAACCTGCAAGTGTTCCCCCCGATCACACAAACACCAGGACAGAAACAGGCTAACCTGCATAGTCCATGATACCAGACCAGATATTGGTACCACCTGGGGTGAGAAAATCTCAGTATGATTTTTTGAAAGTCATATATCCATAGATGAAAAAACCCTTTGAAAGCAATCCGGGACTCACAGCTTAGTGGTAGTAATCACCACATAAAGGGGGACCCCAGAGTCGAATCCACGGGACTAGATTTCAGGGTAGGGGAAACCAGAAAGTGGAATAACTTTACAAGCAATAGTCATATGGTGAAGTATGACCACTCAAAATGTTGGTAACCTGATGCTCTACATGTTGGCTTAAAATATTATCACCTACCGGAAAATATATTGCAGATGCCACACCATTGGGACTTTCTTAACCCAAATGGGCTATGATTGAAGCCAAGCAGTACCTAAGTCTGTTTAAAGTCTGATAAAAGGAACTTTATTGTCTTTTATGGTGTGGTACAGAACGGTTTTTGGTACTTTTTAAAACGAATGTCATCATGCGCTAAAAAATGTAAAATTGTATGAGGTTGGGCTGCTAGAAATAAGTTCACATGAATTTATAACTCTCAACTCCAAATTATAAAGGCCATGTGCTAGATGTAGTCAGAAGCTGTTTTGAAGATACATTGTTCTGGTTTTGGGGGGCTCACAAGATTAAACTGAAGGTCAAATAGGGGTCAAATTGGATATGCTAACCGCAGTAACATGAAATGCGGTTATCTGTTGCATAATGAATATTAATATTTGATAAGATCATACAATTAGACACAAAATCTATTTTTATCACATAAGTGTTAGAAACTTAAGTCTTGATTATTGTAGACCAAAACAAGGGTGGTCACATATGAGTCTACATTGTACACTGTTGATTACTCATCATCTGGACCATCATCGCTTCAAATTCAACCTCGTCCTAAACTTGCTGATTGCTACTTGTCTGTAATTTGCAAAGGTATGTCTATTTCATGTTATACTGAAGGCAGGTACAGCTCTCCTCTAAGCCCTTCTTTAAACAGTTACATGCAACCAATTCCATCACTGTCGCAGGAGCAGGTGGTGCACCTACCCAGACAATAACCAAGGCCCCACCCTCCTCCTTCCAACCATGACCAACAGGAAAAGCCTCCATGCTCCTTTTCCATACTTGATAATTGTTCCTCTTGCAATGGTTCTGCGGTGAAGAGGCGCAAGGAGGAAGCTTCCAAGTTTCAGCTTCCTTTTTCTTTGCGCTAAAACAGGTTGAACAGCAATTCACTTCTCAATAAGTGTCCTTGTGCTGTATAGACAGCACATTTGTGACTCTAGTGCCTTGAACAGCTGTGGTGAAACTCTCCAGCTTCTGCCTACGCAAGTCAATGTGTTGCTGTGTATGTCACTGGTGAGTAGCCTGAGGGCTGAAACCTTTCCTCTTCCAGTGAAGCAGCTGACGGTATCACAGCTTGTAAACGGGATTGCCTAAAAGTCGGTCAATTACGCAATACATATCTCATCTTCAACATCTTTGTTGTATGATAGTTTGTTACAGCAGAATGGTGTCCCTTGGGCACGCCAGAAACCTATGACAGTGTGTTCGAATCCCGGTTCGCCCCGATTATGTTGTCAGCACTATACCCGTGCTCATTGGTTTCACCAAAGTGGTGAACGTCTAATACCTGCATCACTTCGAGCTTTCCGCCCACATCAAGCTAACACGCCGTGATATAATTGGAATTATACTATTCAAAGCGGCGTTAAACCCAACTCACTCACTCCCTACTCTTGTGTACGGTTCCGTTTGATTAACTGGGTTTGTGTTGTGATTACCTCCGGCTTAAATTTGAAGTATGTTTAGAAGAATGTTACTATGTTCAAGCCAAACATCGTGAATATATCATGCAACCGAATCATTTTTCAGGAGAATAATTGCAAACTAAGGGCCAACATATTGATTTCCAATGTATCCAGAAGCAAAGAACTTATTCGGGTGTGTAATCTCTGCAGGAAGTTAAAACAACTGTCAATACAATAAACCATGCAGAACCATAAACCGCCGTATGAAACGGTATGAATCATACTTTACATACAGTGAACTACTTGAAACTGTGCTCAAATCTGCACAGCAAGCACCATACATGTGATTGTGAAGACAACTTATTACAAATATCTGATATCAAACCCGTTGTTTTACATGTGTTGTTTATTGAACAAAGTCATGCTTCATAGAAGCCTGGTATCTAATCGTGTTGAACAAAAATTTGCAATAGCAGTGTGAAGGGAGAACGATTGAGTGCGCGTTACATGCTTGACCTTAATTCCTCCCTGGAACCATTCTCGCTGGCTGCCTGAACAACATACGATACATTGCAAAGGTAGTGCGCAAAAGAGCTATCGGGTAAGGGAGATAACCACTCACTCTCAGTAATACAGCTTGAATAAGATACGATGTACAGCATTGCAAGGTCAGGCGTGATAAAGCTCTATACTACAGATACAGCTAAAGAAGATAATCGCTCAATGCCTAATAAAGTCGATATATTTAATTTAATATCATAGATACAAATATGAAATTTTGGAGTCCGATAGTCACGTGTTGTTGTTGTACAAAGGCATTGAAAACTGTTCATTGTCACAATTGTCTCAATCACCAACTGTCAATATACAAAACAGAATAATTCATCAAGATGACAGTTTTCATGTAAAGATTACGTATTTCTAAGCAAATTAAAGATACATATATCTAGTTGCTTAGAAATACTTAATCGTTACATAGAAACTGGCATCTTGATGTATGTATTGTATCGATAATGTATTGTATATTGACAGCTTGTGATTAATTGTTACCAGATGGCTCCACCTGGGGTAGCAGACGACACACTTTCCAACAATGGGGAACAGGGTAAAAATATGAGTAGGCTGGTTATCATCGAGCTAACGACTCACCAGTCTTAGATGTATTGAAAAAACACACTCTTAATTCTCAACCTTATCTAATGTTAATTCAACAATTTATCATATACTTAGCAGTGGGATATTCTGTTAATAATCTCTCATAATTCTATTGAATTGTTCTGTACATTCTATCAATGTTTATTTGTACAAAGCTGTTTTATTTATGTACAGAAGTGAGATATTAATTGTCTGTCTACAATGTATACCTACAATTAAACCGATTACACACAGAAGCTTCACTTTGAGCTCCTTGTTTTCTTTAAATACCGCGATCTGAGACACTATAAAGTGGTATTTAGGTAGACATAATACTTGTCTATAGATGTAAACACATTTGATGTTACATCAGTGATGTTTAAGTTGATTTTGACAGCCCAGGCCAAGTCGGACCAAACACAAGCCAAACACTTCTCATAGAGACTATGTTGAGAATGTAGAGGGAAAAGGGCTTCACTTTGAGCACCTTGTTTTCTGTAAATATCTGAGACACTATGAAGTGGTTTATAGTTAGATATAATACTAGTCTTTAGATATAATGAATGTTAGCAACTTTAGAAGTGCCAGGACAGTTCTTAACACGTGTCGTGTCAGCCCTATGACATTCGCGAATATCCACTTCCAGAAAACATCCTGTGTTGGTTTAACATGAATTAGTAAAGGTTAATTAGGGATGCCCAACACGTTAATTAATGAAAGAAGAGTAGTCAAAACACTGTCGTTTCCTGCCCTAGGCATCACACCCCTACACGCTAAGGTCGGTGAGAAACTTTCTCATCAAAGAAAACACAGTCAAGACACTGACTTTTCTACGAGGACTCACGGTATGCAGTCATAATTATCAGTTTATTACATTGTTGAAGATGCATTTCGATTCAAACTTAATTAAATGAGCAAAACTATACGTTTGTGGACATTTGCGATCTGCCTAGATATGCACGTTTCGTTTTATTATTCTGCAATCCATTTTTAGTATTAGCCACTGGCCCGGCCCGGCCCGACTTTTCTTGGCCCGACTCTTGGGAAATCCCCTTGTAAACACCTGCAGTCCCAGAAGGTCTGCAGATTTGTCAACGCCTTGCGTGTCAGCAACCTTCTGGACGTCAACATATACATTTCATGTCCTGGTTCTACCCTTCATGTAAATTGAGGATGGTAGCTGTGATGGTAATGCCAAGCCAATAATAAGGACATACGCATCGTATCAGACACACTCACAACTGTAGTAAAGCCAGAATCAGTACAGCGCTTCGCATGAAGGAGGAGCCTGCTGTCTGCCTCTTCTTGGCTTCATCTGAGGGCTTTACATTGTTGACTGGCTCCAACGTTAGTCTTATGCAAGTCTGCTTCTCCGTTCATCTTCACTCCAGCCAGTAACAAGTACTTAAATCAGGTGTGCCTTGTTCTCTAGGTTCAGGACATTCACTGTATGACCCAATGTTCGGGTGCAAGGGTCCTGAATGGTATACCATGCTGGGATCCTCTGTTGGCTCTCTCTGCATCTTTGATTGATTCCTCTTGATAAACATCAAACACCATGTCAGTATACCCACAGGATATTCCTTCTCGCAAGGCTTTAGGAACTTCAGTATGCGACATATTTAGATCCGCCAATTACTCTGTACTTTGCAGTAAGGTAATGTCTGCTGATGGCTCCAGGCTTCAGACAGAAACCTTTGGTGCCTCGTTGTGCCTTCTAGGTACAAGATATCGACAATATCGAAGTGTGACATCCAAAATTGGTGATGAACATCATTCTGATCCTGGTAGAAATACTCTGCCAGAGATATAAACTCTGGAGTGCTAAGTGCTTCAAAGAAGGTATCCTGGCATATGTCTTGTCAAAACGCATTGATCGTCTCTTTTATCTTTATGGAGGCTTTCCATCAGTTAAACCCATTCCAAACAAGCCGTTGCAGTGCCTCATATAGCAATTTGTGGAATCTAACAGCACGGTTGTATCTTCAACCGTCAAGTACACCTTCAACAGAACCTTCAACGATCACTTCAGTTTCTATGCAGAGGTCTCTTAACCCAGTTTTTCTACCACACCAAACAGTGTGTACACTGTGTGAAATACGCCTAACCTAGGAACGATTCAGAGAATAGCTTCTTCTGTTTCAAAATGTTTTCAGTGGCCTTTGCATACAATGCCTGGTCGCAAACCAAAACAATGCTCCCAAGGGCTAGTGACGTTCTGATCTTCTGGGACTGACACAAAACCTCATGGACAGTAAGTGGAAAGCCAACCACAACTTTAACATGGACATGAATATTGAACCCTTTCAAGCTGCTCGCAGTCTGGTTTCTGAACAATGCAACCGAGTTATCATCCATAGTAGGGTTTTCTTGTTCACCCCCTGTTTCAGTTCCATGTCGTCTACTTCAATGTTATCACGAGGTGGCGGACCAGCTCATACACAAGCATTGTAGATAGGAAGCTGCGACTTGACAACCTTGATAGTTCCATGCTTCTGTGTTGGTTCATTCAGGACATCCTTCAAATGCTGTGGACCACTCACCTTTTGCTGCACGTTGATTCCATTACTTAGTGTGATGTCCCTCCTCCACTTAGTGTCTCTTCAAGTCAGTCGATGTTATCAAACGCCAATGTTACTTGGACATTTGGTTGTATGCATCCTGGTAGTGTAACACTTTCTTCGCTCAATGACAATTTATGAAGACAGAGTGCTGTGTCATTCTCCTCAATTGGGGAGTATGAAACGCCATGTCCAATTCGGTTCAGAATGCGAATTAGTTCCACACACCCAGTGACTAATTTCGCAACATATGGCAGCAGGATTTGTTTTTTGAGTTTCACCTTGACCCACATTTTGCCATCACAATGTCCTACCCTATAGAGTCTGCTAATATGGTCTGATACACGAATTGATGTGGTAGTGTCTCAAGTTAAAACTCATTTTCAAGAAGAGGTTTAATGATGCAGGAATGTAGACAGATGCATTTTTCATTTCTGTTGATACTGTTGGCCAAGACCTTGTAACATCTTATCCCTTGACTTCATTTCTAAGCATAAAAAATACATTCATCATCATTGTATCAAAATGAGAAGTGCTTTGCTTGGCAGCTAGGAGCTGTTCCTTCAACTTCTGGTTTTCTTTGATTAGCTCAGTCAATGTTTGTCAGGATAATCCGAAGGTTTGCTTTTCTCATCAGGTATCATATGGATACTCTTCAATTTGAGTATATGTTAGGTCAAGGTCGCACGAAACAGAGTCTGTGGAAGCTGCAGCTGCACTAGATTTGGCTTGTGGCGTCTTTCCAGGCTTAGTGTATAGCCAGAGCGATGGAAACCTCCTTCAGCAGCGACTTCAAAAACATTAACTGCTCCCTTTTGAAAGAAACGATAGATGAGAGTTATCTCTCTTGAAAAGCAGACAACACTGTCTGGATTCCTTTTTAAGAATGTTTAGTACCGGTAATGTGACTTGGAAAATGTGTATTTGATCATTTAAACTTTCCTATATGTTAAGTAGAGTTAAATAATAGCAACTGTTTTCCAATAGAAAAAAGGATTATATGCACACATAATGCTTCTGGCTCACATCCCTGTTCTTGTTCTTATGAGGAGGCCATTGAAAGCGAGCAGTCAGTGTCTCAAAATTCAACTTTAGTACAAAACATTAATTTAAGTTTGTCTTTTCTTTTGCAGAATAAGGGTCCCTTCTTATTCTAACTCAAAGGGTTATATTTTGTAATATATTCAGGTTGAAACCGAGTTCATATATGGTACTAGATGGCATTCTTATTGGATTAGTGGTAACCAAATTACATCAAAATGTAACTTGACCATCATCTGGTTATATATAGGGCATGACTATGAGCAATAGGAGTAGTTTTTTTATCAAAACATAATGACAGTTTTCAGGAAGTTCAACTTCATACAAATCTTGTATGCTTTTAGCGCAAAACGACATTTGTCTTAAAGTGCATCAAAAACCGTTCTTTACCACACCACAAAAGATAATAAATTTCACTTTTTTCAGACTTTTAACGGACTTGGGTACTTCTTGGCTTCAACCATAGCCCATTTGGGCTAAGAAAGTCCCATTGTAGTGGTATGTGCAGTTTATTTTCTGACAGGTGGTAATATTTTAAGCAGAGGTCAAATGTTGTGACCTTTTGACCTCTGGTGACCTACATTTTTTTGACCATGTATTAGTCCTATATTACAAACCAACATGTAGAGCATCAGGTTACCAACATTTTGAGTGGTCATACTTCACCATATGACAATTGCTTGTAAAGTTATTCCACTTTCTGCTTTCCCCTACCCTGAAATCTAGCCCAGTGGATTGGACTCTGGGGTCCCCCTTTATGTGGTGATTACTACCACTAAGCTGTGAGTCCCGGATTGCTTTCAAAGGTTTTTTTCATCTATGGATATATGACTTACAAAAATTGAGATTACTGAGATTTTGTCACCCCAGGTGGTACCGCTTTAAAACATTTTGGAGTCTGGCTCATGGACTAGCAAGTGCTCCCCCCGATCACACAAACACCAGGACAGAAACAGGCTAACCTGCAAGTGTTCCCCTTGATCACACAAACACCAGGACAGAAACAGGCTAACCTGCAAGTGTTCCCCCCGATCACACAAACACCAGGACAGAAACAGGCTAACCTGCAAGTGTTCCCCCCGATCACACAAACACCAGGACAGAAACAGGCTAACCTGCAAGTGTTCCCCTTGATCACACAAACACCAGGACAGAAACAGGCTAACCTGCAAGTGTTCCCCTCGATCACACAAACACCAGGACAGAAACAGGCTAACCTGCAAGTGTTCTCCTCGATCACACAAACACCATGACAGAAACAGGCTAACCTGCAAGTGTTTCCCCCTATCACACAAACACCATGACAGAAACAGGCTAACCTGCAAGTGTTTCCCCCGATCACACAAACACCAGGACAGAAACAGGCTAACCTGCAAGTGTTCCCCACGATCACATAAACACCAGGACAGAAACAGGCTAACCTGCATGTGTTCTCCTCGATCACACAAACACCAGGACAGAAACAGGCTAACCTGCAAGTGTTCTCCTCGATCACAAAAACACCATGACAGAAACAGGCTAACCTGCAAGTGTTCCCCGATCACACAAACACCATGACAGAAACAGGCTAACCTGCAAGTGTTCCCCGATCACACAAACACCTGGACAGAAACAGGCTAACCTGCAAGTGTTCCCCGATCAAACAAACACCAGGACAGAAACAGGCTAACCTGCAAGTGTTCCCCGATCACATAAACACCAGGACAGAAACAGGCTAACCTGCAAGTGTTCTCTCCGATCATATAAACACCAGGACAGAAACAGGCTAACCTGCAAGTGTTCTCCCCGATCACACAAACACCATGACAGAAACAGGCTAACCTGCAAGTGTTCTCCTCGATCACAAAAACACCATGACAGAAACAGGTTAACCTGCAAGTGGTCCCTTGATCACACAAACTCCATGACAGAAACAGGCTAACCTGCAAGTGGTCCCTTGATCACACAAACACCATGACAGAAACAGGCTAGTCTACCTTTGATCATACAAACACCAGACCATTAGCAAGCTAATTGCAAATCTTCTCTCGATCACACTAACACCGGAACTGAAACAGACTAACCTGCAAGTTGTCTCCCGATCACACCAACGCTGAACAATATGGCCGCAATATAAAGAAGAAGGGCTGCCATACTGTTAGATACGTGTTTGAGCTCATCCACTTCGTGATTCACAGTATAGAGATAAGCACCTTTCACCGCTTAGTCTTTGAATACACTCAGAGTAATATATAAGATTACTGCATTAAACCAGAATTCAATGAACCAGTAAAAGATTACGGACTGAGGTTTTCCTGTCATTCTTTCATATATAAACTGATTAAAACATTATTGGGTGGACGAGTTGCTCCATTGCAATGCGGGGGCACGGGTGGCCCAGTCGTCTAAGGCGCCGCGATTCGCTGTGCAGAGTTGCGTCCCTTGGGCACGCCAGAAACCTATGATTGTGGGTTCGAATCCCGGTTCGCCCCGATTATGTTTCTAGGTTTGTCAGCACCATACCCGTGCTCGTGGGTTTCACCGAAGTGGTAAAGGTCTGAGACCTGCATCACTTCGGGCTTTCCTCCCACATTAAGCTGACACGCCGCGATATAACTGGAATACTGTTAAAAGCGGCGTAAAACCCAACTCACTCACTCACTCCATTGCAATGCTAAGGAGAACTGCTTCTCTTGATCCTACAAGGGTCTTGTTGCAGATTCGAACCTTTTTATTCCCTTGCTCGGTCAACATAAATGAGCACCTCGTCTACGTTCCTTCAAAAAGCTGTGACATACCTTCAACATGGACTCAGGCTGTGGAAATCCTACAAACCGTCCTCTTTGACCCAGGTGTCAAACGCAGCACAGCAGTGTCTCAAGATGTACAGATACCAGAAATGGGCCACTGGTACAAGGACCGCCTCCTTGGTCTAGTGGTAGAGCGTCCGCCCGGAGAGCGGAAGGTCGGGGGTTAGATGTTCGGCCGCGTCATACCAAAAGACGATGCAATTTAGGACTTGTTGTTACCCTGCCTGGTTCTCGGGATTTAGGGGCTAAAGCAAGAACTTGACAGCTTTAGCTCTGTCGGCTCGGAGTCAGTATACTTTGTGAGTTGGTATTCATGTTTAACTGTGGCATGGTATCTCAGTGGGCTAGCACTATAAAATCAAATGCAGCACAGTAGTGGCTCAAGATATAACTATATTGGGTTAACGGAACATGTATTTGTATCCACGAATTTACACTGAGAAAGTTTCCAGACGTTCCTATTCATAAATGTTGTGTTTTTGCTTTGATACGTTTTACAGGCATTGCAATGTGTGTATAATGTTTGCCGCTTATCTTGTCACTCCACATGTAAGATATAGGTAGAACACTCCCTGAGAGGCAACACCTGACCAGGGTTCACTGGCTCTAACAAAGGTCAGCAGTGACTTGTCAGTTTGTAACTACTCGATCGTTTTTAAACTAATTTTGATTATATACACCTGGGAATACGTTTCACGTCTTGTTTATGTTCATATCTGCTCAAATGTTGGTATTTTTCTCCAAATGGGTCATATCATAGGAGGTGGGGTGAGGCGAGGCGAGGCGAGGTGAGGTGAGGTGAGGTGAGGTGAGGTGAGGTGAGGTAAAATGTCGTTTTACGTCGCGTTAAAAAATATGCATGCATATCTGTGTATGCGTGCGTGTGCGTGTGCGTGTGCGTGTGCGTGTGCGTGCTGTTTGTGCGTGCGTGCGTTCTTGCTTGCGTACGTGCGTGTGGGTTTGTGCTAGACCGGAGTCATGCTGTTGCTCGGCCGCGTCATACCAAAAGACGATTAAAGCTAGGATTTGTTGTTACCCTGCCTGGTGCTCGGCATTTAAAGGCTAAAGCAAGGACTGGTCGGCTCGGAGTCAGATATACTGTGTGAGTAGGTATTCATGTTAATTTCCGGTATTGTATTTCAGTGGGCTAGCATTAAAAAATCGCACACACATCCAAACACAAACACACACATGCACGTCTCTATATAAGTGACGGATTGACAACTCCAAAGTCAAAGAGTAGAAAAACGTTCTGTCCAAATATTTTCTCAAAAGATTGTATTAGGTTGCACTAGGCTGCATGCATTCCTTAAGACTATGAAATCTGGGAACATATATTTGCTGCGGTGTGTTGATATAAAAAAACATAATTTGTCGAACAATGGGACTTGAAAAACAGTTGGAAATTAAATAATTCTAATTATTGGTAAGATTGGAGGCATAGGTATCAAAACATTTTGGTGAGTGAGTGAGTGAGTGAGTGAGTGAGTGAGTGAGTGAGTGATAGAGTGAGTTGGTGGGTGGGTGGGTTGGTGGGTGGGTGAGTGAGTGAGTGAGTGAGTGAGTGAGTGAGTGAGTGAGTGAGTGAGTGAGTGAGTTGGTGGGTGGGTGGGTTGGTGAGTGAGTGAGTGAGTGAGTGAGTGAGTGAGTGAGTGAGTGAGTGAGTGAGTGAGTTATTCCAGCAATACCACCGCGGGGGACAGCGGAAATTGGTTTCACGCATTGTATCCATGTGCGGAAGCGAATCCCCGGTCCTTCGTTCTTACACGTGAACGCTTTGACCACAAAGCCACCCAACCACCCTCTTTGTCGAATGGCGTCTAGTCATTTAGGCGCCTTACGTACATACAAGTCCGACTTGCTGCCTTGAAAACTATAAAACAAAAAACTTTAAAAAATCCTGAATAGCAATTTACATCCCTTAAATGTATATACAGTAAACTACGGTTATAACGAACTCAAAGGGACTACTAAATTTAGTTCGTTATAACCGTAGTTCGTTATAAGCATATATACAGCATAATTTCCGCAAATAGTCGGGACCAAAAAAGTAAGTTCGTTATATCCGTCAGTTCGTTATAAGCGTGTTCGTTATAACCGTACGTTACTGTCTGTACTAGTTTCATGTTATGCTCCCGAAATGAGCCCTAGCCTTATTTCACCTACAGTACATCTTCGTAAAAACGCCGGTTCAGGCGAAGCGACAGCGAGACATGTGAAAAAATACTAAAAACACGTTGATACAACGCCGAATGAATTGGTTTGAACGCCGTTTGTATGTTACATCGTAAGTACATCACCAAGAATAAGGTGAGGTGAGGTGAAATGGGGTTTAACGTCGCGTCCAAGATTATTGCACTTATATAGCGACGTGCATGTACGTGTGTGTGTTTGTGTTGCTGCTTGTACTAGTACGGACTGATGATTTATAGTGCTAGCTCACCGAGATACCATGCCACAGTTTAACATGAATACCCCACTCAGACACAGTATACTGACTCCGAACCGACCAGTCCTTGTTTTAGCCCCTTAATGCCGAGCGCCAGACAGGGTAACAACAAGTACCATCTTTTAACGTCTTTTGGTATGACGCCACCCCGGACCTTCCGCTCTCCGGGCGGACGCTCTACCACTAGATTACGGAGGCGGTCATCAGAATAAGAAATTAACGGATTCAATCTCATTTGTGAAACAGAATTCTGATTAGTCAGATTGAAGTGAGTCATGAGTTTTATCAAGGAGATTCGACGGGGAGGGCACGGGGGCAGCAGTTGTATTGTCGCTGAGCAGATTTGCGTCCCTTAGGCGCGCAAGGAACTTATGGCTTCGCATATTGGTTCGCCCTGATTATGGTTAAAGATGAGTCAGCACTATACCCCTGCACGTTGCTTTCACAACAGTGGTAAACGTCGGGTCTCCCTCCAACATGAAGCTGACACGCAGTGATATAACTGGAACTCTGTTAAAATCGGCTTTGAGCTCTCTTGTTGATGACACTTGTACATATGACGTCCCTCAACTTCCATTAATGAAGATTCAATCAATGACATCGACAGTCAGATAGACGTATTACAATTGCTGAACCCGAGGAAGACACAGGTTTTAGCCATGGATTCATTGAAACTATTATTCATGAACATATACAGATGAATAAGATATCTGCTCGTTGGGTGCCAAAGTATCTAAATTCTTAGGAAATTTCTAAGGAAAAAAGAACTGACATTGCCAGTGAAAATATAAGTTAATTTAGCTAATTGACGAGGAATTTAAAAAGAGATTAGTAAAATTATGGCCACTGTCCTCTAGGATGCTAAGGGTGCGATTCTTGTTAATTACTTATATTAGGAGGTCAAAAGACAATTACCGGTGCCTACTATGCTGATTTGCTTCTTCATCGCCTGATTGATTCTGTCAAAGAAAAGCGGCGAGGAATACTGACTGCGGGAGTTCTACTACTTCATGACAATGCATTTTCACACCTCTCGACTTGCAAATGCTGCTGTGCGACAATGATGGGTTCGAAGAGCTTCCCCACCCTCCATTCGCCAAACCTGGCACCAAGTGATTTCCAACTATTTTCTAAACTAAAAGAACACCTTTGTGGAAAGCTCGATGACGACATGAATGGGATTTTCAGGGTGGCTTCAGAAAACGTCTTCCTGACTGGAATTGAAAAGCTTCAATATCGATATGAGAAGTGTATTCAAAAGTAGGGAGATTATGTTGAAAAATAAAATTGAAAATACTTTCACAATTGTTGGTTTTGTTTGTTAGGCTAAGAACTTTTGATCCGCCATCGTAAACATGTCTGAATGAAACATACGATTTGACAGCCATATCACCGCGGAATCTGATACAAGAGAAAAATACGTCTTTCTCAGCCTTTGTCAATAACTTTTAAATAACTATATGTACAATTACAGTGTATAAAATACAAAGTAGAATAAGCATAGACATGATGTTATGGTTTATTTGACAAAGGTTCATGTCCGCTACATCACAGATTCTTCTTGTCCAGGACCAGTGGCTTGGCACCTAAAGCAGGGTTCCCTAGTCTGGAAGAACAAACACACATTGTCATGTGCGGACATATCTTTTGTTTGTTTGTTTGTTTGTTTGTTTGTTTGTTGTTTAATGCTGCACTCCGCAATATTCCAGCTATACGACGGCGGTCTGTAAATAATCGAGTAGGAACCAAACAATCCAGTCATTGACATCATGAGCATCGATCCACGCCATTGGGATACGATGACATGCTTCAACAAAGTCAGCGAGCCTAACCACCCGATCCCGTTAGTCGCCTCTTACGACAAGGATAGTCTCCTTTTACGGCAAGCATGGGTTGCTGAAGACCACGGATCTTCACAGGTCGGGGGCATATCCATGAGTTGGGGGGCGGGGGGGAGGGGAGGTGAAGTACAAACACCTATTGTTATGAGGTGACATATCTTTGAGGGTGGGACGGGGAGTGGTAAGTACAAACACACATATTCCTGTGGGGACATATTTATGAGGGCGGGGTCGGAGGGGTACGTACAAACACACATCGTCATGTTGGGGTCATCATAAACACATGCAAAGGCAAGTCAATTGGTCACCTAAAAAGAACACGTGATCATATGGTACAGTCAAATGTGTCGAATTGAACAAAACCTTTGTCAAATTTGGAAATATTATTCACATGCTGAATACTGCATCCCAGTGATCCTGCTCAAACACCTGATGAATATTTGTCAAAATAACACACGAGACGGCCCTTGGGACCTGGGTATATAAGAAACGCTGTGTATTGCGGTGAGTGAGTGCAAGTGATTTTGGTTTTACGCTGCTTTTAGCAATATTCCAGCAATATCACGGCGAAGGACACCAGAAATGGGCTTCACACATTGTACCCATGTCGGGTTTGGAACCCGGGCTTAGGCGTGATGAGCGAACGCTTTAACCACTCGGCTACCCGACCGCCCTGTGTATTGGGTAGGCAGTTGTAGTTTCAATATACTCACGCGAGTGACGTCACCCCGTGCGAAGTGGAAGCTGTGAACTGGCTCTGTTGACCAACATTCTGCCACACCACCGTCCCTGGCGCATGCTCAGACAGCAGACCATCGTGTATGGCGGACCGGCACACAGAGGAGGACTAGCAAACACAATTATACTTTGTTGTTACTGTGTATGGAGATTATTAGCCAAATGTGTATTCTTATCATGAATAGCATATATTAAGAATACAATTAATTTTATATTATGTTTTTTTGTTTGTTTGATGTTTAACGCCCCAATCAGCAATTTTTACAGCTATATAACAGCTCTGTAAATAATCGAGTCTGGACCAGACAATCCAGTGATTGACATCATGAGCATCGATCAATGCAATTGGGATACGATGACATGCATCAACCAAGTCAGCGAGTCTGACCACACGTTCCCGTTAGTCGCCTCTTACGACAAGCATAGTCGCCATTTACGGCATTCATGGGTTGCTGAAGACCTTAACCGGATCTTCACGGGTCAATTGGTTTTGGTATTTTATTTGTATATATTTGTATATATGATAAGTACGACATGGAAATACTCGAGGGCAATAATTTCTTTATCGTGCCATAATGACATTATTTGGTTTTGTTTGTTTGGTGTCTAACGCCGCAATCAGCAAAATTCCAGCTATGTGACGGCGGTCTGTAAATAATCGAGTCTGGACCAGACAATCCAGCGATTGACATCATGAGCATCGATCCACGTAATTGGGATACGATGACATGCATCAACTAAATCAGCGAGCCTGACCACCCGATCCCGTTATTCGCCTCTTACGACAAGCATAATCGCCTTTACGGCAAGAATGGGTTGCTGAAGACCAATTCTTCCCGGATCTTCACGGGTCTCTTTAATAATATTCATACATTGATGCACAGCCTACTAGCTTTACACATCTTCTGACTAACGGTCCAAAGAATCAAGAGAAAGGTTTTGAAAGCGCTGATGTACACCTTTTATCTGTGAGTGTTGAAATATTAAACCACTGTTCCAACTTTTTTCAGTTCTTAAACAAAAATAACATTAGCTTTGTGTCAAAGCTTCAGTGGCAGATAGATTAGTGTTGTCATGGTAATTGAATTGCTGACATCACAACGGTTTGCAAACTTTATGCATTGTGATGCAATTTCACGTTGGTACCCTGACACTGACTCCTTACCATTTCCTCAGATGCAACGAGCGTTAGTATTAGGACCATACGCTGAAACAGCTTCATACCAAAAGCAACTGGAATTAAACGATATAACCATTTTTTTTTAAATGGCCCCGACGAACGCTTGCTGCTTGCTTGTTTGTTGTTTAACACCGCACTCAGCAATATTCCAGCTATATGACGGGGGTCTGTAAATAATCAAGTCTGGACCAGACAATCCAGTGATTAATATCATGAGCATCGATCCACGCAATTGGGATCGATGACAAGCATCAACCAAGTCAGCGAGCCTGACAATCTGATCCCGTTAGTCGCCTTTGACGACAAGCATAGTCGCCTTTTATCGCAAGTATGGGTTGCAGATGACCTATTCCACCCCGGATCTTCACGGGTCCCCCGACGAACGCGGTAGATGATGGGCAGCCAAGGCAGAGACCTAAACAAGTTGTTTGGTTTATAAACAAACCGATGCATATGTTGTGCTTCCATACACCGGTGTTGGATCCGCTAGACAGGTGGCGGGGCAGTGGAGTCTGAAATGAGAGTCATTGTACCAAGTGCAAATATTGTGCCAATTGAAGCTGATGGAACTTTGCATCTGTCATGGAGAAGACTTTATCATCACTCGTTAAGGAAGCTAATTGTTTGACTGGATACTCAGCGTCAAGTTCCTTTCCATAACCAAAAAAGTCCATTGTGCGATTCTGACTATATCATAAGCATGTGAAAATCCATACCATTTGTCTGACTGGAATGTACAGACATGAAGACGTCATGTGTGTGTGTGTGTGTGTGTGTGTGTGTGTGTGTGTGTGTGTGTGTGTGTGTGTGTGTGTGTGTGTGTGTGTGTGTGTGTGTGTGTGTGTGTGTGTATGTATGTATACTTAACATTTGAAGGATGGAAATATTATTTCACTGAACATATGCTGTATTTGAATATGAACTACAATATCACAGGTACTTACCCACAATATTCAAACGTGCACTGTGAGAATGTTGTGTTACAGGTTCCTGGTCCCTGGTCATTGTACGCTGTGTAAAGACAACAATAAATAGCAGGTAACGAGAAGTTGGCGGGTGCTTTAGTGTTTAAAAACACGTCGTCGATTCCACAACTACGGAAACCCTAAAGGCACATATTATATATTTTTTCTGGAAACCTCACAATGACATTGTGCAATTTCAAGGTACAGTAAGGAAAACTTAAGAAAATATGTTGAAAAACCAAGACACAGAACTATATAATAAATTTCAAGAGTATGGTATCATGCATTTGCTAAAACTTAGGACAAATAAAAAAAAGAGTTTTCTGAAACAAATAATTATTTTTTAAAGAATCCCAGCAAACACACCCTACCCCCAACCCCTTACCCCCTCAGAATATCAAAGGGGCGGTCGGGTAGCCAAGTGGTTAAAGCGTTCGCTCGTCACGCCGAAGACCCGAGTTCGAATCCCAACATGGCTACAATGTGTGAAGCCCATTTCTGGTGTTCCCCGCCTTGATATTGCTAGAATATTGCTAAAAGCGGCGTAAAACCAAACTCACTCACTCACACTAGGAATATCAAATGGTTGATCCACACTTAGTGGAATAACGCCTTACCATATGCACTGCTCGTTGCCGATGCCAAACTGTCTGTGGCGGAACATGAATACATTCCATAGTCGGTGGGGGCGATCTGGTTGATGAGGAGCTTGTGGCTGCCCCCTGACCCGGGGATCTGTACGTACTTGCCCTTGTTGCTGAGATCAAGGGGCTGGCCATCCTTTGTCCACGTCACCTGAAGCGGTGGGTCGCCCGTCACCGTACAGTCAAAGAAGATGACCCCCTTCGCAGGGGTGACACTCGGTGCAAGGCTGGCTTTTGGTGGGTCTGACAAAGGATAATAATTATACTACCAATATTGGTTAATCCATGGACAATGTTAATTTCTGATAAGAATATGCTCGTAGCTACATGGACCTGTAGATCTACGGACCGCCTCTGTGGTCTAGTGGTGGAGCGTCCGCGTCCGCCCCGGCCGCGTCATACCAAAAGACGTTAAAAGATGGTACTTATTGTTACCCTGTCTGGCGCTCGGCATAAATGGGGCTAAAACAAGGACTGGTCGGCTCGGAGTCAGTATACTGTGTCTGAGTGGGGTATTCATGTTAAACTGCGGCATGGTATTAAAGTGAGCTAGCACTATAAATCGGCATCAGTCCGGACTAGTACAAGCAGACACATACACACACGTGCATGCACGTCGCTATATAAGTGCAATAATCTTGGACGCGACGTTAAACCCAATTTCACCACACCTCACCTCACCTGTAGATCTACAGAATGCTGCTTAATTGAAACATAAAAATCAAATTTTAAATATTCATTAATATCAATCTGTCATCAGCATCCTAACTGTCCATACAACACTGCTTGCGTCTGGGATCTATAATATAATCTATAATTCTTCTCTGCCAGGTGTATATCAACCAATAATTAATTATATATATCAAGTGAGGGACTTACCATCTCATTTATTTTGAAAAAAACACCACACAATCTGAATGCTTTTTGAGAAAAAGAGGAGAAGTGGTGGTATCTAGGCCAGGTTAGGAACTTTTTCACACATGGTACAGAGAACTAACTTTCACGTGTCATTTGTTTTAATAATTATGCACGTGCAAATGAATACATGGGCACGTGCAGCTTCTGTTGTAAGACAGGTCATTGACGGGTATGTGACCCGTGAAGATCCGGGGTAGAATAGGTCTTCAGCAACCCATGCTTCCCGTAAAAGGCGACTATGCTTGTCGTAAGGGGCGACTAACGGGATCGGGTGGACAGGCTCGGTGACTTGGTTGATGCATGTCATCGATCCCATTTGCGTGGATCGATATAATATTTATGATATTTATCACCGGATTGTCTGGTCCAGACTCGATTATTTACAGACTGCCGTCATATAGCTTGAATATTACCGAGTGCGGCGTTAAACAACAAACAAACAAACATACACCGCTATGAAAACCCGTGACAAACCTAGTGCGTAATTGTTGTTTCACTGTCTGGAACGCAAGCGCACACGCACTCACGTACACACACACTCTCTTGCTCGCACGAACGCAACGTTAAGCCCCATTTCTCCACAGTTTAATGAATTTATGCCCATGACTTGAATGCATGATCGTTCAAGCTAATTGGAAATGTAACAAAGAGTATTTCGTTTCGAAGATTTATAACATAGTCATAAGGAAAAACACCCACCTTGTACCTTCAGGGTAATATACGCTATATCGTAGCCATGTAAATTCTGGGCTTGGCATCTGTAACGTCCTTCGTTCGTTTTATCAATGTTGGCAACGAAAAGAGACCCGTCACTATGGCTGAACAGATGGGAGTTGGCAGCCTGATAAAACAAACAGGTACAGGTTGGGCTGAAATTAACATTAACACACTGGGCGAAAATATCTCCTTTCATACTCTATATCGTAGCCATGTGAATTCTGGGCTGGGCATCTGTAGCGTCCTTCGTTCGTTTTATTAATGTTGGCAACAGAAAGAGACCCGTCCTTCTGGCTGAGCAGATGGAAGGCTGATAAAACAAACAGGTACAGGTTGGGATGAAATGCATACATATACACACTGGGCGAAAAGATCTCCTTTCACGCTTGAACTTTCCTTGTTTTGACAAAAATATTCAATATGTTCAAGAGTTCAAAAAGAATCAGTCACAAATATCTGCGGAAACAGAATCCGTAGGGCGTAAAAGGCAAATAATGAGGAAACGTATATTAAGGTATCACCGAAAATCAGTCATGGCATCAGGTGTTCGCGAATCTTGATTGGAAAGCTCAGATGGCCTCTACGCGAGTCTTGGCCGATTTGATATGGCACTTCGCTTGGTTGACACTCATTTCTGTACCGAACAGCAATACAGAACCATCAACAGAATCGATATTGACATTGGCACTATGTCCCACATCTTTGGCTCGTTTAAGGAAACTGTGGAATGCCTTGTTTTCATCATGAGTCTTGACATGCTTCACGGGAGGATAACCAGACACATACATGTGTGCAAAAGTGCACAATACAATTCTATCATGAAGAGACTCCACGTTAATCAAACTACGTCCTCCAATTATAATTGGTAAATATAAGCGATTGAGGAATGAGCGAGGGTGGTGGGATCTATTGTCTGACATGATTCTTCGTGTGAGGGTGTTAATACCCTGAATTTCTTGTTTCGTCCAATCAACAACACAAAAAGATTACGAAAGGAAATTATTATTATTATTATTATTATTAGTAGTAGTAGTAGTAGTAGTAGTAGTAGTAGTAGTAGTAGAATTTACACATTAAAATAAATTAATGCAGCAAAGGGGATTTGGGTGATCCTGGCACAGTCAGGCTGGTTAGACTCATCATCAGCTCAGGGCCCTTGCCCCCTCTACACGCAGCCCAGACAGCGAATGGGACTTCTCCCAGGAAGCGCTACCTCGTCAAACCCACTCAGAACTTTTCGGAGAATGTGAAGACTCCCCAAACCCTGCAGCCTTCTGCATTACCAAGATTGTCAGAAGGGCTGTCTTCCTGGCAGTAAACCCGTGTACTCTCCCAAAGTCAGTCATCAGATTGGGAGGTACCAAACCTAAGGCACCGAGAACAATAAGAAGTGGGACAAATAGGGATGCAAGCATGACATATTTGCCCTGTTTTTCCTGGATCTTGTCAATCACATTAGTGTCAAAAGGGACAGACAATTGAATGACATATATGATTTCATTGGGTTTATGAAAAAGGACGAGATCAGGTTTGTTGGTCTAGATAGGTCCAAGTATGTTTGTATTTACCTTTTTCAATGACGTCCTCTAATGTTCGTACCATGTCAAAGCCACAAGCATGGCGAAGAAAAGGGCGAATCTATAACCAACAAACAAAACAGACCTACGATTACCTACCGTGCTTGTCCACGTGACGGTGCCTGGAGGGAAGCTGGTGGCGTTACACCACAGTCGGATTGTCTGTCCTGCAGTAGCTGTGACAAGCCCGTCCCCGGACAAGCTGGTGATGTGGGGCCGAGCTGGAATTATCGTGGTGTGGTGTGAGTGGGTCTCGTGACATACAGTCCGGCAACATATTGACACATAAAGCCTGGTGACAGCAGACAATCTCGGGGATCGGAGAATGTTTACACCATATTTGTGTGAAGACTGCTGGTACTTGTATTGTATTCTGAGGTGAGACTGGAATAAGTCATCTGTCTGTCGCAACTCTGCACAGCACATACCGCGCCAAACTGTGTTCACACGCTAACGTGACAAGGCCTAATTTCTCTTGTGATGTTAAAATACACCAAAGACACAAATAACATTTATCATCTGTCTACGTCTACGTAATACTTTAACAGACAAATTGTTACAATAAAAAAGTAAACTAAACTGACGGCAAAGAGAAAGTATACACCCATGCATATGTTTGACGGTGGCAAAAAATGACACAGTGGAAATATTATATTAAAAAACAGACTCCATGTCCCTTATGGGCCACCGTAGTTATCGGATGGAGATTGTTTGATACATAATAATGAGCCTCTCACAAAAGCCGACTGTGTTCAGCCAACTGACATTCGTAATGTTGTGATCAAATCCACACACACACACACACACACACACACACACACACACACACACACACACACACACACACACACACACACACACACACACACACACACACACACACACACACACACACACACACGCACGCACACACACATTCTGCTTTGTTGAAGAACTTTACTTGTGGGTAAGCTGTATGCTAACGCAGCTTTTCCAAAGTGCACTTTTGAGAAGATCAAATGATGAACAACACCCCAAATGGACTGTAAGGTGAAGCGCTTTAGGAATTGAACCTAGATAAAACTGTTTCACTTCCTCCAAGATATATTATGAATGTGGTCTGGATTGCATTGCTTTTCGGTATAACTGGTTTGCACGTGTTCCAAGGACGCATTTGTATGTAACTTTCTAATTGGACCAAAAAAAACCCATGATTGTAGGAATGGGTGACATAAAATCCAGGTTTAATTTTTAATGTTGAAAAACAAATTTTCCCAAAATAAATATTTATTCCAGGCTACATGTATGACAATTTGGGCATGAACGCTCTGGTGTCTCTTGACTTTGACTACGCAAAACTTACATTGAACACTAAAAGCAATTGCGTCTCCGAACTTTCACTCCGCGTAAGACTTACATTCAACACTAAAAGCAATTGCGTCTCCGAACTTTCACTCCAAGAAAGACTTACATTCAACACTAAAAGCTATTGCGTCTCCGAACTGTCGCTCCACGTAAGACTTACATTCAACACTAAAAGCTATTGCGTCTTCGAACTTTCACTCCAAGAAAGACTTACATTCAACACAAAAAGCAATTGCGTCTCCGAACTTTCACTCCAAGAAAGACTTACATTCAACACAAAAAGCAATTGCGTCTCCGAACTTTCACTCCAAGAAAGACTTACATTCAACACTAAAAGCAATTGCGTCTCCAAACTTTCACTCCAAGTGAGACTTACATTCAACACTGAGGTAGGTACTGACATCCACTGTCTCGGGACCATTGTTTGCTTCACAGACGTAGCGCCCGTTGTCCTGGTAACGGGAGATGGGCAGGTACAGCTGTGACCCGCCCGTCGTGGGGCTGATACCGGAAGAGACCAGTTGTCTGGACCCATCCACGCTGACGTGATACCAGGTGATAGACAGGGGCTTCTCGCTGTCAAACTTGCATTCCAGCATCACTGGTTCACCTTCGGTCACAGTGTGGTTCATATGTACACTGGTCACTTTTATATGTCCTAAAAAAATGAGGGTGAGTGAGTGAGTATGGTTTTACGCCGCTTTTAGCAATATTCCAGCAATATCACGGCGGGGGACACCGGAAATGGGCTTCACACATTATACCCATGTCGGGAATCGAACCCGGGTCTTCGGCGTGACGAGCGAGCGCTTTAACCGCTAGGCTACCCGACCGCCCCCTGAAAATGAGAAGAAATGCTTTGCTACATTATGTGCTTGAGACCTTACCTGCACTTAATTAATTTAATAGCTGTCTTTTCGCGAACACTGAGTTTCAGTTTTCCATTCATATCATTTTCACAGCTATTTGCCCTTTACGCCAACATGAGTCTGTTTCGGCGGATAATCAAGACTGGGTATTCTCTTGCATTGACGTTTTATATTTATCTACGTCATACAGATGACTGACCCGTGAAGATCCGGGCAGAGAATGGGTCTTCAGCAACCCATGCACGTCGTAAGAGGCGACTCACGGGATCGGGTGGTCAGGCTCGCTGACTTGGTTGATGCATGCCATCGATCCCAATTGCGTGGATCGATGCTCATGATGTCAATAACTGGATTGTCTGGTCCAGACTCGCTTATTTACAGACCGCCGTCATACAGCTAAAATTTTGCTGAGTGCGGCGTTTAACAACAAACAAACACTAAAACAAAACCTAGGTAGTTTTGATAAACCTTTTGACCTCTATGGTTTCACAAGCATTTTCGAATCTTCATCGTTCAACGAGCACGATTGAGCCTTTTTTCAACATTGCTGTTGAATCTTTATGGAACGACGAGGACTACTGCATACAATCAGTCAGGGAGATGTATTCGACAGTAGATCCCAGAACTACACTCTGCCCAGGTGAGGTCACAGAGCGGCCAGAACAAACCCCAGGACCACACTCCGACCAGGCGAGGTCACAGAGCGGCCAGAACAAACCCCAGGACCACACTCCGACCAGGCGAGGTCACAGAGCGGCCAGAACAAACCCCAGGACCACACTCCGACCAGGTGTTACAGACCTTCGACAGTAGATGCAAGAACCACACTCCGACCAGGCGAGGTCACAGAGCGGCCAGAACAAACCCCAGGACCACACTCCGACCAGGCGAGGTCACAGAGCGGCCAGAACAAACCCCAGGACCACACTCCGACCAGGTTTTACAGACCTTCGACAGTAGATGCAAGAACCACACTCCGACCAGGCGAGGTCACAGAGCGGCCAGAACAAACCCCAGGACCACACTCCGACCAGGCGAGGTCACAGAGCGGCCAGAACAAACCCCAGGACCACACTCCGACCAGGCGAGGTCACAGAGCGGCCAGAACAAACCCCAGGACCACACTCCGACCAGGCGAGGTCACAGAGCGGCCAGAACAAACCCCAGGACCACACTCCGACCAGGCGAGGTCACAGAGCGGCCAGAACAAACCCCAGGACCACACTCCGACCAGGCGAGGTCACAGAGCGGCCAGAACAAACCCCAGGACCACACTCCGACCAGGCGAGGTCACAGAGCGGCCAGAACAAACCCCAGGACCACACTCCGACCAGGTGTTACAGACCTTCGACAGTAGATGCAAGAACCACACTCCGACCAGGCGAGGTCACAGAGCGGCCAGAACAAACCCCAGGACCACACTCCGACCAGGCGAGGTCACAGAGCGGCCAGAACAAACCCCAGGACCACACTCCGACCAGGTTTTACAGACCTTCGACAGTAGATGCAAGAACCACACTCCGACCAGGCGAGGTCACAGAGCGGCCAGAACAAACCCCAGGACCACACTCCGACCAGGCGAGGTCACAGAGCGGCCAGAACAAACCCCAGGACAACACTCCGACCAGGCGAGGTCACAGAGCGGCCAGAACAAACCCCAGGACCACACTCCGACCAGGCGAGGTCACAGAGCGGCCAGAACAAACCCCAGGACCACACTCCGACCAGGCGAGGTCACAGAGCGGCCAGAACAAACCCCAGGACCACACTCCGACCAGGCGAGGTCACAGAGCGGCCAGAACAAACCCCAGGACCACACTCCGACCAGGCGAGGTCACAGAGCGGCCAGAACAAACCCCAGGACCACACTCCGACCAGGTGAGGTCACAGAGCGGCCAGAACAAACCCCAGGACCACACTCCGACCAGGTGTTACAGACCTTCGACAGTAGATGCAAGAACCACACTCCGACCAGGCGAGGTCACAGAGCGGTCAGAACAAACCCCAGGACCACACTCCGACCAGGCGAGGTCACAGAGCGGCCAGAACAAACCCCAGGACCACACTCCGACCAGGTGTTACAGACCTTCTACAGTAGATGCAAGAACCACACTCCGACCAGGCGAGGTCACAGAGCGGCCAGAACAAACCCCAGGACCACACTCCGACCAGGCGAGGTCACAGAGCGGCCAGAACAAACCCCAGGACCACACTCCGACCAGGTGAGGTCACAGAGCGGCCAGAACAAACCCCAGGACCACACTCTGCCCAGGCGAGGTCAGGGAGTGGCCAGAACTAACCCCAGGACCATACTCCGACCAGGCGAGGTCACAGAGCGGCCAGAACAAACCCCAGAACCACACTCCGACCAGGCGAGGTCACAGAGCGGCCAGAACAAACCCCAGGACCACACTCCGACCAGGCGAGGTCACAGAGCGGCCAGAACAAACCCCAGGACCACACTCCGACCAGGCGAGGTCACAGAGCGGCCAGAACAAACCCCAGGACCACACTCCGACCAGGCGAGGTCACAGAGCGGCCAGAACAAACCCCAGGACCACACTCCGACCAGGTGTTACAGACCTTCTACAGTAGATGCAAGAACCACACTCCGACCAGGCGAGGTCACAGAGCGGCCAGAACAAACCCCAGGACCACACTCCGACCAGGCGAGGTCACAGAGCGGCCAGAACAAACCCCAGGACCACACTCCGACCAGGTGAGGTCACAGAGCGGCCAGAACAAACCCCAGGACCACACTCTGCCCAGGCGAGGTCACGGAGTGGCCAGAACAAACCCCAGGACCATACTCCGACCAGGCGAGGTCACAGAGCGGCCAGAACAAACCCCAGAACCACACTCTGCCCAGGTGAGGTCACACAGCTTCGACAGTCCACGTCCAGACACGTCCAGTTGAAGGACCGTTTCTTAACCAATGCAAGACCGATATACATTTTACTCACTCAAGACCTGAAGCAGGATCACCTTCTGTTCCGTCCCAAACACGTTAGAGGACGTGCAGGTGTAGGCCCCGTGGTCGCCCACTGTCACATTTCTGATGCTGAGATCGTACCCCTTCAATGAAAATCGGGAAGAGTCAAGTGTGGAAACGTCAGGCGTCCATGTCACGTGGGGTGGAGGGTAGCCAATGGGATCACAGGCGAGCACAACCGGAGATCCCTCGGTGACCGTAATGGAGCCACTCGGTGCGTGGAATGCAGGCTCGGCTGAAATTAAAGGGGGGACTTTAATCAGTGCAGTCAATAGGGACAACCAGTGTGTGTGTGCGTGCGTGCGTGCGCGCGCGCGCAAGTATGTAATTGTATGTGACTGTGTGTGACTGTGTGTGGGTGTATGGGAGAGTGATTATATGAACATTATGTTCAAGAGTATGGACGTTTGTAATTGAGTGAGCGTATTAGTGAGTGAGTGAGTGAGTGAGTGAGTGAGTGAGTGAGTGAGTGAGTATGGTTTTACGCCGATTTTAGCAATATTCTAGCAATATCAAGGCGGGGACACCAGAAATGGGCTTCACACATTGTACCCATATCGGGAATCGAACCCGGGTCTTCGGCGTGACGAGCGAACGCTTTAACCACTAGGCTACCCGACCACCCCGTGAGCTTACTAGTGTCTTCACTTGTTTGAGTGTATGACTGTATGGGAATGTTTGTGTCTGATTTTGCAATTGTGTTGGTAATTATGTGAATGCATGTGATGTGTGTGTGAACCTGTTCCTAACTGTGTGAGCACGTTAGTGTGTCCACGAGGGTGTTATTGTATAAACGTGTATGTTTAAAGGTGTGCGGGTAGGTGTTTGTTTGTTTGTTGGTTGCTTAACGCCGCACGCAGCAATATTCCAGCTTATATGACGGCGGTCTGTAAATAATCGAGTCTGGACGAGACAATCCAGTGATTAATATCATAAGCAATCAATCCAAGCAATTTGGATCGATGACATGCATCAACCAAGTCAGCGAGCCTGACCACCCGATCCCGCTAGTCGCCGCTTACGACAAGCATAGTCGCGTGCGGGTAAGTGGTTGTTGTGAGCGTGTTAGTGTGGCCACGGGCGTGTGATTGCTTGAGTGAGGGATAAGGTGAGTAATATTACAACCACAATAAAATATGACTTTGAATATGATCACACTCCCGTTCTTTAAACCCCTTACTCGTACAATCAGACTGGCTTTAGCGGTACTATAAGGGTAACGCTATTTACCGTTATTATAGTTAAAATGGATGGAATTTGTTATCAAATAAAAAGAAACAGCAATATCGGTTTTGAAACATTTACTGCAATCAACACGAATGTCACTGACCTACTTTTACAAATATAGAAACGTCATTGAACAAACCAGATTACGTCACTATTCAACGTGACGTCACCTATCCCTATCCTATGACGTCATCTAACAACGGGCGTGATAATGGCCCGTCGTCAAGCAATATGAGCCAATTATCAAGTTACAGGGGCCCCCTCATTTCTGATAACATGCGGGTGGTTTAATGATAATTCTATCCATTTTAGCTATAATAACTAGCAATGCGAAGAACTTACTCAGATTCATGCAACATGCTGTGGAGGATGGGGAAGGAAGGCTCATGGGTCCCTGGCTTCCCTGGAGCCCTCTGTCTCCTGTGTCGCCTTTAGCCCCAGGGGCACCAGGATCTCCCTTCACACCAGCAATACCAGGATCCCCTCTAGCTCCAGCTTCGCCTTTAGGACCCGAGGGGCCTGCTGGCCCATAGGGCCCGGGTTCCCCCTTTAAACCAGGAAGCCCCGTCAGGCCCATATTTCCCTTACTCCCGATATCGCCCTTACGTCCGGACTGGCCATCATTGCCTTGTTCACCTGTTGGAAACACAACGAAACCTCGTATATATGAACGGCATCATTCTCTGTGAAATCGTCCTGAGTAGGTGAGGTGAAATGGGGTTTAACGTCACGTCCAAGATTATTGCACTTATATAGCGACGTACTTGCACGTGTGTGTGTGTGTGTGTGTGTGTGTGTGTGTGTGTGTGTGTGTGTGTGTGTGTGTGTGTGTGTGTGTGTGTGTGTGTGTGTGTGTGTGTGTGTGGCTGCTTGTACCAGTCCGGACTGATGCCGATTTATAGTGCTAGCACGCTCAGATACCATGCCGCAGTCTAACATGAATACCCTACTCAGACACCGAGCCGACCAGTCCTTGTTTTAGCCCCTTAATGCCGAGCGCCAGACAGGGTAACAACAAGTACCATCTTTTAACGTCTTTTGGTATGACGCGGCTGGGGATCGAGCCCCGGACCTTCCGCTCTCCGGGCGGACGCTCTACCATTAGACCACGGTTTGGTGACTAGTGCACTTTGCCTACACTATGAAAAATGCTCCCCTTACATTAATTGTGGACTAGTCCAAAGTATTTTGCATGTTATTTTTACTTTGCTATATGTTGATAAAACCTGTGATTGTTTTGAAACATGTTGTTTATATATTTCCTTTCAACACCCAGTAGAAGAAAGGGGAACTCTGTGTGTTTTCATTTTAAGTTATTAATCTCTTGAAAATAAATAGTTTTGTTCATAGGAAAGCTATTCGTATCCAGACCCCATGATCAGCCAGTGAGCAAGCCAGTTAGGGAGAAGATTGAACAAGAATAAGAGGAACTCCAAAATTAGTAGGAGATTAGTGAGTGAGTTGGGTTTAACGCCGCTTTTAAAAGTGGTGATGGTTCATATTTTGACTTTGTACACCACGTTCATCGAAAGTCGACATTGATACACATTATTCGACACCGTTATGCTAAAAGGAGCTGGAAATCGGCAAAATGTCTGTTGCCATGACAGCAGAGTAAATTTGTGTTCAGTTGTACACCGCTTATGTATACAGTAAACTACGGTTATAACGAACTCAAAGGGACAACTAGTTTAAGTTCGTTATAACCGAAGTTCGTTATAAGTACATATACAGCATGACTACAGCAAGTAGTCGGGACCAAAAAGTAAGTTCGTTATATCCGTCAGTTCGTTATAAGCGTGTTCGTTATAACCGTAGTTTAGTGTATTACCAAAACGTCATTCAGCAATAAAGTTCAAGTAATGTGCATGTCAGGTGAGATTAAAAGTAACATCCCTTTGGAATTTAGACGCCCCATCTCACTTTTTAAACTCTCGCTGTTCTGTTTTACCATCATTTCGAAAGCTAAATCTAAACGACCCAGGATCTCTTTTATTGCAATTAACATATCACTTTGAAACAAATGTCAAATGCTCTTAATGTTATGTCTTCCATTTTATGTCTGTGTTGTAAACGTGTCTTTATATTCGTTTAATCCCCTTTTTGTACGATACAGGTATGATATTAAATGTTTAATAAGATCGTCAGGAAGGCGGGGCGGACTGACGGGATGTCCAGATCATGGAGCTCCGGAAAAACCGAGACTTCTGTATTACGCTGGTAAAGACAAGGTTTCCGGATTATAGAGATCAGGACTAACGATATTGCTGAATTATGGAGATCCTGACTAACGCGATTTACGGATCAAGAAGGTCCAGACTATCAGGGTTTCCGGATTATGGGGGTCCCGACTTAAAGGGTTTCCTGATTATTGGGGTCCCGACTAAAATATTTTACGGATTATGTGAGTCCGGACTAACATTTTTTCCGGATTAAGGAAGTCCGGAATAACAGGGTTTCCGGATTAAGGATGTCCCGACTAAAAGGGTTTCCGGACTAATGGAGTCCGGACTAACAGTATTTCCGGATTAAGCAGGTCCGGATTAATAGGGTTTCCCGATTAAGGAGGTCCGTACTAACAGGTTTGTGTACTATCTGGCTGTCCGGACTGATAAGGTTTACTGATAATGGGGGTCCGGAAAAACGATCCAACCTTGATTGGACTGAAATATTGTTCAAATAAGCCTTAAACCGGAGAGACTCGTTCACTCTGCAACCAACCTTTTGGGCCTGGAGAACCTGTATACCCCGGCTCTCCTTTTGGACCAGGGGGAGACGGCATTCCTGGCTCTCCCTTCACGCCCCCATCTCCCTTCGCACCCATCGCTCCTGCGTCTCCTTTCACCCCGGCGGAGCCTTGATCCCCCTTGGGACCTACACCACACACAGAATAGGGATACAAACTCATGGGCCAAAAAAGTAAACCGAGTTTTTTCAATGTAATTGAAAAATGAAAGAATTTTCATTAAATTAGATTATCTTTATTTAACCATCACTCATTCCTGCAACAGTTTGTAAAACAAAAATCTTTAGCTGGGTAATTTTGTGTGAACACAATTTGGTTCAATGGGGTAAATAAAGCGACAAAGCCCTCTCCACATCCAATAGAAATCTGAAATGAATTTGTAACCACATGAGCCCTACCATGTTTGAAGTGTTGTTAATGTGTGCTGAGGAAAGCAAATTTATATAGTTTCAAAGATAAGATGTAAAAGATACCCATCAACAGTCGTGTACTATGCGATCTCTTTAGTAAATTTTAAAAGTTTTAAATCAAAATATTTAAAAATATATTTTGACATGTTTTTTTCACTATCCTAAGATAAAATTATTTTCAAATGAAAATCAAACATATGATATGATATGATCAACTGAGAGCAATGGTTCTTTGGCTCCTTAATATATTTGTTTTGCTTGACTAAGAACATAATCATGTACAGTCAAGTCCCGTTAATCCGACATGATTGGTTGCATATAATCATGTCGATAGATAGCGATACGATCACGTTGTGATAAAAAATATGTCTCACTGTAACCTTTCAATGTTGACATGGAAAGGCATTTTCACTTCTGTCCTGACTCTCAAAATTATTCATATGTATAAAATCAGGGGCAGCCGGGTAGCCTAGTGGTTAAAGCGTTCGCTCGTCAAGCCGAAGACCCGAGTTCGATTCCCGACATGGGTACAATGTGTGAAGCCCATTTCTGGTGTCCCCCGTCGTGATATTGCTGGTATATTGCTAAAAGCGGCGTAAAGCCATACTTAGCCATTCACTCACTGTATAAAATCAGGGCAGATTCCAAAATTTGCCAAATTTGCTTCAGTACAAAATCGAAATATTATGAAGATAAAGTTTCGAATGTGTGAATGTAGTAGCATTGTACCTTTGGGTCTTGTGGTTTCACGAGAAGAAGATGCTTTATGTACAATAATGTTTGGGTTGCTTTGATTTGTTTTTGGACCCGTGAAGATCCGGGGTAGTATAGGTCTTCAGCAACCCGTGCTTGCCGTAAAAGGCGGCTATGCTTGTCGCAAGAGGCGACTAACGGGATCGGGTGGTCAGGTTCGCTGACTTGGTTGATGCATGTCATCGATCCCAATTGCGTGGATCGATGCTCATGATATGAATCCCTGGGTTGTCTGGTCCAGACTCGATTATTTACAAACCGCCCTCAAATAGCTTGAATATTGCTGAGTGCGGCGTTAAACACCAAACAATACGGATTGAATGAATGTTTGTTTTGGCAAATGTTGTTTTATCGGATGTGCATGCTTGTTGTAGTAAGTGAGTGAGTGAGTTTGGTTTTAAGCCGCTTTTAACATTATTTTAGTTATATCACGGCGTGTCAGCTTAATGTGGGAGGAAATCCCGAAGTGATGCAGGTCTCAGACGTTTACCACTTCGGTAAAACCCACGAGCACGGGTATGGTGCTGACAAACCTAGAAACATAATCGGGGCGAACCGGGATTCGAATCCACAATCATAGGTTTCTGGCGTGCCCAAGGGACGCAACTCTGCACAGCGAATCGCGGCGCCTTAGACGACTGGGCCACCCGTGCCCCCGCATGCTTGTTGTAACTCTCTACAAACAAATGAAAATGTTCTGCATGTTTGGAAATAAGGACATTATAGGTAAGGACAGCTCGGTGAGTTTGTGAATGACGGTTCATTGTCCAGTGCTGTGTCCTCTGACAACCTACCTGGTAAACAAATCTTGCTGTTGTTTGAGCAGTAATTTTCAAATTGGTGCAACTGAAACAAGATATGTTCATATTCAAGTAACATTTACGATGGGTTATGGTGAGGTGAAATGAGGTTAAACGTGGCGTTCAAGATTAGTTTGCACTTATAAAGCGACGTGCATACACGTACGTGTGTGTGTGTGTGTGTGTGTGTGTGTGTGTGTGTGTGTGTGTGTGTGTGTGTGTGTGAGTCTGGCCTGTTTAATACTAGCTCACTGAGATACCATTCCGCAAAATAACGTGTGTACACCAGTATACTGACTCCGCGCCAGACAGTCCTTGTTTTAGTGAAGTTTAAGAGGTGAGATGAAATGGGGTTAAAAGGCCGCGTCCAAGATTATTACACTTATATTCTATTGCACTTATATAGCGACGTGCATGCACGTGTGTGTGTGTGTGTGTGTGTGTGTGTGTGTGTGTGTGGCTGCTTGTACCAGTCCGGACTGATGCCGATTTATAGTGCTAGCACACTGAGATACCATGCCACAGTTTAACATGAATACCCCACTCAAACACAGTATACTGACTCCGAGCCGACCAGTCCTTGTTTTAGCCCCTTAATGCCGAGCTCCAGACAGGGTAGCAACAAGTACCATCTTTTAACGTCTTTTGGTATGACGCGGCCGGGGATCGAACCCCGGACATTCCGCTCTCCGGGCGGATGCTTTACCACTTGACCACGGAGGCGGTCCTTTTGTGAAAGAACAAGCACGGGTATTGTGCTGAGAATTCTAAAACACAACCAGAGGGAACCAGGATCTGAGCTCTTGATCAGTAAGCCATATATGGACATGTTCTGGGTGAATACAAGCAGTGAATACTGACCTCTGCTTCTGTCAAATCTTTGAAAAGGTCACCGAGGTCAGATCCCACTGTCAGTCGAGTCTGTCGTGAGGTTTCATGGTCTCCCATCAATCTCGCGAGATCTCGCAGAACAGCAATCACTTCCTGTTTCACAAGATTAGTTGAGATCTGAAAGAATGGACAGCAAATATGTTAAATTAATCAACCCGAAAGAACGAACAATTCACGGATTAAAAACATGCACATGTCAGACGTAATGACAGTGTGTTGTACATCACTGATGAGCGGAGTGAGTGAGTTGGGTTTAACGCCACTTTTAACAATATTCCAGTTATATCGCGTCGTGTCAGCCTAATGTGGGAGGAAAGCTCGAAGTGATGCAGGTCTCAGACGTTTACCACTTCGGTGAAACCCACGAGCACGGGTATGGCCCCCTAAAAACCTAGAAACATAATCGGGGCGAACCGGGATTCGAACCCACAATCATAGGGCGCAACTTTGCACAGCGAATCGCGGCGCCTTTGACGACTGGGTCACCCGTGCCCCCCCCCCCCCCCCCCCCCCCCCCCCCCCCCCCTGATGAGTGGAAGATTGTGCTTATCAGTACAATGTGCTTATCCGTTTATTGTTGCACATTAAAGGACAGTGTGATATACATATCTGATATTATTGCACATTAAAAGACAGTGTGATATACATACCTGATATTATTGCACATTAAAGGACAGTGTGATATACATATCTGATATTATTGCACATTAAAAGACAGTGTGATATACATACCAGATATTATTGCACATTAAAGGACAGTGTGATATACATACCTGATATTATTGCACATTAAAGGACAGTGTGATATACATACCTGATATTATTGCCCATTAAAGGACAGTGTGATATACATACCTGATATTATTGCACATTAAAGGACAGTGTGATATACATACCTGATATTATTGCACATTAAAGGACAGTGTGATATACATACCTGATATTATTGCACATTAAAGGACAGTGTGATATATATACCTGATATTATTGCACATTAAAGGACAGTGTGATATATATCTTAGCAACTTCTAACTATGGTGACAGCAAGGGTTTAAGTAAATATTTCATATGGTCTTCCATAACTTGATATACAGACACAATCAACTTTTTTTCCGGCGGCATCCCTCCACACTTTGTGGAGCAAAATTGATATTATCAGGAAACATGTTCTTTGAATCAATCCGACGCGCTTGTCCCTCATTTGAACCCCCGCATGTATGTCCCTTCACTTGTATCTCCATGTGTGTTTCTCCCACGCTTATGTCCCCCATCACTGTATATACATCTGCACCCCCCCACACTTATGTCCCTTCACCCCTATCTCTACCTGTGTTTCCCCACTCCTCATGTATCTCTACGTGGGTTTTCCCCAAACTTTTGTTCCTTCACCTGTATGGCCCCCACACGTATGTTCCTTCACCTGTATCACTACCTGTGTTTTTCCTCACAAGTATGTCTCTTCACCTGTATCTCTACCTGTGCTTCCAATGTCTATATATCCTTGTTTCTCCTTGTTTCTCAACCCGTGCTTTCCAACTTTTGGAATGGTGTGACCATCCCTGGTTGAATGCTCAGAGAACATGTACATGATTAAGGTAAAGATTGTGCAGTGGTCTTCCTTCACAGATGATATATGTTCATTAAATAGAATAGCCTACATGTCTCGCAATCCAAGCTGGATCTCCTCCTGCTGACAAACATTTGTGCAGTCAATTTTCATATACCGTATTCGACGTAATAAGCGCCTTGCTCTAATAAGCGCCAACGGCGATATTTGCTAATATATTGGCTAGTGAACAATCTCAATTAACGTCCCTTCACATTGATCATTGTACACAAGACTTATTTAATCGTGTATAATACACACCCGCGTGTTATGTGCACCCTTAATTATGGGCAATTAAATTCTGGAAAATATATCTGTGGTGTATAATACGCACAGATTTTTCTTCTGTATCATTTCAGGCTGTCAGCATAAACCACGAAATTTACGATCTTTCAACTCTTTCATACTTTAATAAGAGCCCCCTATTTCTAATTTTGAGAGCGCCCTGGGCGAATATTACGTCAAATACGGTACAGCAGTTGCTCCTACTGCCAAATTACCATCTCATCGTACCTTTCACTGATGGGTAAAGCATATTAACATGTGCAAGGATTACCTGATCCCCAGGTTGCCCCTGTTGGGAAGGTTCTCGGGTTTCCCTGAGATCGTTACTGCCATGACCACTCCGCCTGGCCCTAGGGTCGCGAACTTCCAGCAACACATCTTCAGCAACCTGGAAAATTCAAATCTATCGCACATCAGCTAAACGTGTTCTTTCTTTACTGAACAAAATTAGATAGGAATGATGAATATTATTGGGAATATTGGTATGTAATGGTATGCTCATTTTTCACAACCAAAACAGATCCACCAAAATAGTCTTTATTATTATCGGGGGCACGGGTGGCCCAGTCGTCTAAGGCGCCGCAATTCGCTGTGCAGAGTTGCGTCCCTTGGGCACGCCAGAAACCTATGATTATGGGTTCGAATCCCGGTTCGCCCCGATTATGTTTCTAGGTTTCACCATACCCGTGCTCGTGGGTTTCACCGAAGTGGTAAACGTCTGAGACCTGCATCACTTCGGGCTTTCCTCCCACATTAAGCTGACACGCCGCGATATAATTGGAATATTGTTAAAAGCGGCGTTAAACCCAACTCACTCACTCACTCACTCACTTTGTTCTTATCATTATTTGTTTTTAGTACATGTTCATCGTGCAGAGATACCGGGTCAGATGTCCAGTACCGCATGTTTGTCGGGAAATAGCCCTCGGGTGGTCTGGTTTGCATGCTCTTTGTACGACGATTTCAAAGAGCGTCATACGACTTTTCCTTATATTCGTTTTGATCAAGGTTATAATATCCTAGGCCTCAGTGAAGTTTCCGAACGTTTGTAGAGGACGTTTCCAAATTTGACGCATCTGTGATAAAAAGGGGGTCCGATGCAATGTTTGACTTGTGCAACAAGTTCCCATGTTGTTTCAGTTGAACATTTAATTTGTCTTTGCACGTGTTTGTACCTGTGGGGCAGGAACACCTGGTGTTATCACTATTTGATAGTGATTCATGAACACATGCCTATGGTATCGTCCGAAAATGAGATGCAGTTTGATCGTCATTCCAAAACTAAACCATCGGTTTGTAGTGCGGTGTAGTTTGATCGTCATTTCAAATAAAAAAATCGGGTTATGGTGAGGTCCAGTTTAATCTTCATTTCAAATGTAAACAATCGGGTTGTGTTGAGGTGTAGTTTGATCTTAATTCCAAAAATAAACAACCGGGTTATTAAGAGGTGTAGTTTGATCTTCATTTCAAACCTCAACAACCGGGTTATGATGAGGTGTAGTTTGACCTTCATTTCAAATCTCAACAATTGGGTTATGAAGAGGTGTAGTTTGACCTTCATTTCAAATCTCAACAATCGGGTTAAGATGAGATGTAGTTTGATCTTCATTTCTAATCTCAACAATCGGGTTATGAAGAGGTGTAGTTTGATCTTCATTTCTAATCTCAACAATCGGGTTATGATGAGGTGTAATTTGATATTAATTCTAAATCTAAACAATCGGGTTATGAAGAGGTGTAGTTTGATCTTCATTCCAAAACAAAACAACCGGGTTATGATGAGGTGTAATTTGATTTTAATTCTTAATCTAAACAATCGGGTTATGAAGAGGTGTAGTTTCGTCTTAATTCTAAATCTAAACAATCGGGTTATGAAGAGGTGTAGTTTGATCTTCATTCCAAAACAAAACAATCGGGTTATGATGAGGTGTAGTTTGATCTTCATTTCAAAACAAAACAACCGGGTTATGATGAGGTGTAGTTTGATTTTCATTTCAAATCTCAACAATCGGGTTATGATGAGGTGTAATTTGATTTTAATTCTTAATCTAAACAATCGGGTTATGAAGAGGTGTAGTTTCGTCTTAATTCTAAATCTAAACAATCGGGTTATGAAGAGGTGTAGTTTGATCTTCATTCCAAAACAAAACAATCGGGTTATGATGAGGTGTAGTTTGACCTTCATTTCAAATCTCAACAATCGGGTTAAGATGAGATGTAGTTTGATCTTCATTTCTAATCTCAACAATCGGGTTATGAAGAGGTGTAGTTTGATCTTCATTTCTAATCTCAACAATCGGGTTATGATGAGGTGTAATTTGATATTAATTCTAAATCTAAACAATCGGGTTATGAAGAGGTGTAGTTTGATCTTCATTCCAAAACAAAACAACCGGGTTATGATGAGGTGTAATTTGATTTTAATTCTTAATCTAAACAATCGGGTTATGATGAGGTGTAGTTTCGTCTTAATTCTAAATCTAAACAATCGGGTTATGAAGAGGTGTAGTTTGATCTTCATTCCAAAACAAAACAATCGGGTTATGATGAGGTGTAGTTTGATCTTCATTTCAAAACAAAACAACCGGGTTATGATGAGGTGTAGTTTGATTTTCATTTCAAATCTCAACAATCGGGTTATGATGAGGTGTAATTTGATTTTAATTCTTAATCTAAACAATCGGGTTATGAAGAGGTGTAGTTTCGTCTTAATTCTAAATCTAAACAATCGGGTTATGAAGAGGTGTAGTTTGATCTTCATTCCAAAACAAAACAATCGGGTTATGATGAGGTGTAGTTTGATCTTCATTTCTAATCTCAACAATCGGGTTATGATGAGGTGTAATTTGATATTAATTCTAAATCTAAACAATCGGGTTATGAAGAGGTGTAGTTTGATCTTCATTCCAAAACAAAACAACCGGGTTATGATGAGGTGTAATTTGATTTTAATTCTTAATCTAAACAATCGGGTTATGAAGAGGTGTAGTTTCGTCTTAATTCTAAATCTAAACAATCGGGTTATGAAGAGGTGTAGTTTGATCTTCATTCTAAAACAAAACAATCGGGTTATGATGAGGTGTAGTTTGATCTTCATTTCAAAACAAAACAACCGGGTTATGATGAGGTGTAGTTTGATTTTCATTTCAAATCTCAACAATCGGGTTATGATGAGGTGTAATTTGATTTTAATTCTTAATCTAAACAATCGGGTTATGAAGAGGTGTAGTTTCGTCTTAATTCTAAATCTAAACAATCGGGTTATGAAGAGGTGTAGTTTGATCTTCATTCCAAAACAAAACAATCGGGTTATGATGAGGTGTAGTTTGATCTTCATTTCAAAACAAAACAACCGGGTTATGATGAGGTGTAGTTTGACCTTCATTTCAAATCTAAACAATCGGGTTATGAAGAGGTGTAGTTTGATCTTCATTTCAAATCTAAGCAATCGGGTTAAGATGAGATGTAGTTTGATCTTCATTTCTAATCTCAACAATCGGGTTATGATGAGGTGTAGTTTGACCTTCATTTCAAATCTCAACAATCGGGTTATGAAGAGGTGTAGTTTGACCTTCATTTCAAAACAAAACAACCGGGTTATGAAGAGGTGTAGTTTGATCTTCATTCCAAAACAAAACAATCGGGTTAGGATGAGGTGTAGTTTGATCTTCATTTCAAAACAAAACAACCGGGTTATGATGAGGTGTAGTTTGATTTTCATTTCAAATCTCAACAATCGGGTTATGATGAGGTGTAATTTGATTTTAATTCTAAATCTAAACAATCGGGTTATGAAGAGGTGTAGTTTCGTCTTAATTCTAAATCTAAACAATCGGGTTATGAAGAGGTGTAGTTTGATCTTCATTCCAAAACAAAACAACCGGGTTATGATGAGGTGTAGTTTGATCTTCATTCCAAAACAAAACAACCGGGTTATGATGAGCTGTAGTTTGATCTTCATTCCAAAACAAAACAACCGGGTTATGATGAGGTGTAGTTTGATCTTCATTCCAAAACAAAACAACCGGGTTATGATGAGGTGTAGTTTGATCTTCATTCCAAAACAAAACAACCGGGTTATGATGAGCTGTAGTTTGATCTTCATTCCAAAATAAAACAACCGGGTTATGATGAGGTGTAGTTTGATCTTCATTCCAAAACAAAACAATGATAGTAAGGTGAGGTGTATTTGGAAGCTTACTGCGGACAAAAAGTTACAATTTTACCAAGTTTATGCTATACATTTAAAGTCGTAAGCTCACGTACCAATTTGCACAATATAAATCAACACAAAACCTTCCTACACAGTGTAATGGTTGGTTGGTTTGTTGTTTAACGCCGCACTCAGCAATATTCCAGCTATATGACGGCGGTCAGTGTAATGGTTGGTTGGTTTGTTGTTTAACGCCGCACTCAGCAATATTCCAGCTATATGACGGCGGTCAGTGTAATGGTTGGTTGGTTTGTTGTTTAACGCCGCACTCAGCAATATTCCAGCTATATGACGACGGTCAGTGTAATGTTTGGTTGGTTTGTTGTTTAACGCCGCACTCAGCAATATTCCAGCTATATGACGGCGGTCAGTGTAATGGTTGGTTGGTTTGTTGTTTAACGCCGCACTCAGCAATATTCCAGCTATATGACGACGGTCAGTGTAATGGTTGGTTGGTTGGTTGTTTAACGCCGCACTCAGCAATATTCCAGCTATATGACGATGGTCAGTGTAATGGTTGGTTGGTTTGTTGTTTAACGCCGCACTCAGCAATATTCCAGCTATATGACGGCGGTCAGTGTAATGGTTGGTTGGTTTGTTGTTTAACGCCGCACTCAGCAATATTCCAGCTATATGACGGCGGTCAGTGTAATGTTTGGTTGGTTTGTTGTTTAACGCCGCACTCAGCAATATTCCAGCTATATGACGACGGTCAGTGTAATGGTTGGTTGGTTTGTTGTTTAACGCGCACTCAGCAATATTCCAGCTATATGACGGCGGTCAGTGTAATGGTTGGTTGGTTTGTTGTTTAACGCCGCACTCAGCAATATTCCAGCTATATGACGACGGTCAGTGTAATGGTTGGTTGGTTTGTTGTTTAACGCGCACTCAGCAATATTCCAGCTATATGACGACGGTCAGTGTAATGGTTGGTTGGTTTGTTGTTTAACGCCGCACTCAGCAATATTCCAGCTATATGACGGCGTCAGTGTAACGGAACACACCTATTCTTAGCAGGTTACGTTCTCGAGGTCGTTGCCAGTAGTAGTTCTGATAACGCTGTGGGAAATGTGAACAATGAGGTTATCAGTTCTCAAAGCCCACAATGGAATCGTTGGGCCATGCTAAATACTCATAACTGGCCGTTATCAGTCATGTTATAAAATAATTCAAATTTGTAGTTATGGTACCAGACAATTAGGAAACTTGGTGAATAAAAAAACAGTCGCAGATCTTGAACAGTGACAGACGACGTTGAAACTAATAGTAAAGGTTGATTATTTTATGTCTTGGTGTCCACTTACCGTCTTAATTGTTAATTGATTTTCAAGATTCTGTATCCTCCCTGCTTGGAGGATCGTTACCGTCACAAACGCAACAAGGTGGAGCCCAACGACAATGTACAAACATGCTGTCGCCTTCTGCGATGACGTCTCCTTCATCGTGGACATAATCGACACTCGTAGAGTGACACATTTTCTTATCTTATCAAAGAACTTACATACGCCCACCTTCTTCAGTTCCAGACAGGTTCACTCAGAATGTGATCCTTGTTGTGTCAACACCTTACCTATACTTGTTGGAGTAACCTCTTAAAGGGGAAGTGTACACGCAAAAATCACTTTCTTTCTTTTTCTAAACAAAACGCAATTTTAGAATTGATTAGTATCTGTGTTTGAAAATATACACTCAATTTTTTCACAGTGAAAGTAGGAAGCTCACAATAGTGTGAAAATGATATGCCGTTATGAGGCCTTCGTTTTTCGAGCTAAACAGGCCTGAGTTATCCCCCTTAGATTATGACGTAATTGGTGCCAATTCAACTGGGTCCCTGTCTATTCTCAACACAAAAGATATCAAGTACCAGTTTGCGGTAAAACAACATGGCCTAAGACACACTCCGGCGCAGTGGTGACTCAGCATAACACTATGCTGGCTGGCATCTGAGACGCTAGAATCACACATCTAGACCTACACCACGTGAAGCGGCTCTAACAAAGCATGATGACGTCATAATGTTTATCAATTGGCAACAATGACGTCATATTGCAAGGGGCATAAGCCATGGTGTTTTTGTTGTGGAAATAGAACACTTGGTAAATGTGGAAAATATAAATCGTTTTAATGCGAAAAATATGTTAATTAATTGTGATATTTTTATATTTTTGTCTATGACACTTCTAGGTTAACACTTTTAATGTGGAAAAAGTACAAGAAAAATAGGTTAATTTCCGTGTGAACTTGCCCTTTAAACCTCACGTTCGTCTTTCCTTTCACATAATGCTGACATGGTGTGATGATTGCCATATTGTTCAAGACGGCTTTGCACAAGGGTATGAAACTCCCAAAAATTTCAGCCAGACCACAGGACTGGCTAGCTGAAATACTTGCCAGCCCTGACCAAAACCTGCCTGCCCACTATAATCATATGTTTCTCAGGATAAGCTAACGGGATTTCTTTTTGGTTACATTTTATTATTCATCTTTACATGTGAATGAATGATTATCATCGGGAAATATTTAGAATATTGTCACATATGAAATATAACCCGACCGTCGGGCAGGGGGATTTGAAAATCTGGCAGCCCGAGTTAAAATCAACCCGTCTCGGACGGTCGGGCAGGCAGGTATTTCGAACACTGCTTTGCACCCAATCCACCCACTCCTTAAACCAAGCAGTGCATCACAAGACGGAGGATCTAATTAAAATCCTTTAGATTATATAGGTCACACGGAACAAAATGTACATGAAATATAAAAAAATGTTTAATTGGCTTAATTGTTTGGTAGAAAATTTGCTTTGGTCTCCAAGCTTATTGTTTATATTGCAGCGGCCCGGAATCGAATTTTGTATAAACCTTGACGGTCTGGAAGTCACTAGGAGTCAAACACTTCTTTTCAATAAATAAATAGCTTTTTATTCATGTTGGTATGACAATACTTTCATATGGATAGCATAATGGTGTCTCATAGGTAGATCCCTCTGAGTATTAAGGTTGACTGTGCGTGGACCGGTGTCGGGGCAATATAATTATTGCCTGTAACTATAATGGTAGTTTTAGGTGGATGGATGGATGGATGGATGGATGGATGGTAGATGGATAGATGGATGGATGGATGATTGATTGATGGATGGATGGATGGATGGTAGATGGATGGATGGATGGATGGATGGATGGATGGATGGATGGTAGATGGATTGATGGATTGATGGATGGATGGATGGATGAATGGATGGATGGATGGATGGATGGATGGTAGATGGATGGATGGATGGTAGATGGATGGATGGATGGATGGATGGTAGATGGATTGATGGATGGATGGATGGATGAATGGATGGTAGATGGATTGATGGATGAATGGATGGTAGATGGATTGATGGATGGATGGATGATTGATGGATGGATGGATGGATGGTAGATGGATGGATGGATGGATGGATGGATGGATGGATGATGATGGATGGATGGATGGATGGATGGATGGTAGATGGATGGATGGATGGATGGATGATTGATGGATGGATGGATGGATGGATGGTAGATGGATGGATGGATGGATGGATGGATGGTAGATGGATGGATGGATGGATGGATGGATGGATGGATGGATGGTAGATGGATTGATGGATGGGACATTTTAAGTCCCGTTACATGTACGTCCTTGAGGGATCTATTTTCGCAACGTAAAATCACTGAAACAAAGAGCAAGGCGAACCATCTAAGGAGGTAATTTAATTACGCCAAATTGATTCGCTAATTGCCTTCCAACATCACAAGATAAACGATTACGACCTGTTATGGCTAAGGTACGTCATTTCCGCCTGTCAAAAGGAAGAGTAACAACAAGCAACATCGACTAGGAATTACGATTGACAATTCAAAGAGGTCAATTACAAATGTCAGGAGGCAATTGGAATTTACCTGATACATAAGACGTTATAATAACATGAATTGGCTACTGATATGCTTTGACAGTGGCACTGGAAGTCCTATTTAAATGACATAAGATCCTCTGCTAGATTTCTTACCAAAACGAATTTCAAAACATAGAATAAGTGAAAATGAGGTTGGCAATAATATACTGGCATATACCTGCAAAACTAATTACAGGATAATTATGACATATAACCATCAAAATAGAAAAGGGGATTATTTAGGAAATATCTGTTGCTTTATAATTGTTTACAAACAGTCATAACTTGTAAAAATTAAGTAATATATATTAATAATTATACAATCTTCGTCATGGCCATCACATCATTGACATAATTTATTTAGACTGGAATCAGTATTTAGAGCGCAGGCAGCTCGGGTTCGGTATTATTTTGTTAAACCAGGAAGAGTGAATGAGTGAGTGAGTTGGGTTTAACGCCGCTTTTAACATTATTCCAGTTATATCACGGCGTGTCAGCTTAATGTGGGAGGAAAGCCCGAAGTGATGCAGGTCTCAGATAAACCAGGAAGAAGAAAGTGAAACAAATGGTGGATTGGCACTTCGAGAAGCTGATATTTATCAGAATCGATCTATTGTATTGATTCTGTAAAGCTGTAGCATGTTCATGAAAATAAGTTAATTAAACAGAACTGTTGAAATTGCAGGTCCTACCTAAAATCTCAGGGACCATTCGCAGACTGAAAATTGATGTGTGTTGCGCAGTGCATGCTGTGTGCAACACAATCTAGCCCCCAGCACTTGGTTAGTTTGATATAATCTAAAATGTCAACGCCCGGGTCGTTGATCCTATGAAACGGATTCCATTGGTCGTTAAAGACAAATATCGTTGGAAATTATATGAATGGATCACGCAATATCAGTGATGACACCAGGTGCTTTCGAAAAGGGTAAGTATATCCTGTCCTTACCATAGCACTTTCAACTCACACAATTTGCATAAAAAATACAGTAAACTACGGTTATAACGAACTCGAAGGGACCACTTACTTTAGTTTGTTATAACCGTAGTTCGTTATAAGCATATATACAGCGTAACTATAGCAAATAGTCGGGACAAAAAAATCAGTTCGTTATATCCGTCAGTTCGTTATAAGCGTGTTCGTTATAAACGTACTTTACTGTATGTGTATAATACATTCCAACTTAACTAGACTACAATTACTTTGTTGTGATTACAAATCAATCTTGTGTGTTACTTGATCCACAAAGCGTTCTGGACATTCAAACGACCTTATAACAAATGTAACGCATATGTGGTTTACAAGAGTTTACAAGGCACGAGAAGTCTTTGCATGTGCCGGTTGCGTCACTGCCATCATCAGTCGTAAAACAATTCCGTATGTGTCCAACTGTTCGCCTGAATCACTCCACGTCATCTCCTGCCCATGGAACCTGCGGCCGACACTTTGTGGAATGGCAGCCCATCTTCCTGAAGAGCTTGACGTAAGTGCTGTATATTATGTGGCCGCGGCAATACGTGAATGGTCTGAGCTCTCAATAAATCAGTTGTTTGGTAGTTGTTTTGGTGAGTTGGGTTTAACGCCGCTTTTAACAGTATTCCAGTTACATCACGGCGTGTCAGCTTAATGTGGGAGGAAAGCCCGAAGTGATGCAGGTCTCAGACGTTTACCACTTCGGTGAAACCCACAAGCACGGGTATGGTGCTGACAAAACTAGAAACATAATCGGGGCGAACCGGGATTCGAACCCACAATCATAGGTTTCTGGCGCGGCCAAGGGACGCAACTCTGCAACGCGAATCGCGGAGTCTTAGACGACTGGGCCACCCGTGCCCCCATCACGTACTGACTTAACCAACTCAGACGGACATTGATCAGCAAGTAATGTATCTGTATGGTGCATTTATGGGTCATGTATTTCTTCTAGGGGACAGTTATGGGTCAATTGTCTGTATGGAATATTTATGGCTCAAGTATCTGCATGGGATATTTATGGGTCATACGTACAGTGACATGTCAGCTCTTGACATGCACACACTCCAGGCCAGGGGAGGAGTCGTCCATACTGCAACAACAGTATCTGTGCCTTCACAGCCTGAACCATCAGTGCCAGATCCCGCCTCATCGGCACAGGGATCCACGAAGAGACCAGCAGGATGGAGCACTGTCCAGTAGCCAAAGTCATCGATACAAACATTCCTGTTGGATGTAAGTTATGATGAGTTACTCTACAACAAACTTACACTTGAAATTGAATGTTTAAGCCTTAAGAAGAAAATCATTGAAATTCAACATCAGAAGCTGCAGACTGAATAGAATTTACATTTATACCATGTATGCATATCACTTTAAATGGCCAGAGAGTTCATCACATGTTTTCAAAATGTGATGTGTTTGTTTGAACAGACAGATCTGAAACCTGGTTTTCAAAAGAACATTATTTTTACAGAACTCTTTTTCATCAGTTTAAATTTAGTTTACGTTGTGTGAAATTTCATTTATCAATATATACATAGATAACATGTCAGAATTTGTATATTTTTTCATT